GCTGGGAGGGCCGTAGAGAAGCAAACCCCGAGTCCACTGAAGAAAAACCCAGAAACCGAAAATTAATTAGCATAAGAGAAATGGAAGCGTAAGAGATATGGAGTGTGTATGTGGGTTTTGAGGGGTTTACTTTGAGACCGAGCTTTTGGGCTTGACGAGAGTAGAGGAGAGGGTAGACGATGAGTTCTCTGAGAGCTCATGAGATCTTCGGCGTTTCCGGCTATGGCGTCTTCGGCTCTCCATTGCTCCTTGTTGATGTTGCCGTTGATCATGCTGCTGCTAAGCGAGCTGCTTCTATGGCTTTCCATCTCTACGCAAAGAGTAGAGAGAACTTCTGTCACTGACTTTATTTTGGGCACGGGCCGGGCCCAAATTGGATGGACCGGACCGAATCCGTTTGAAATACAATTGGACCGGGGCATGACGGGACGGGTCATACAAAATTGAAATAAAACCTGACCTAATCCGGCCCGTTTGAGGTTCCTACGGGCCCACGGTTCCATTTCTTATTCCTCCCCTATCAAATTACTCAGGACACCCAATTCACCGAAATCTCAAAAATCAATCATAATTTCAACATACCCGGTCGGATTTCCTCGGGAAAAACCTTTCAAAGCAACAAACTTTAATCCAGAAATTGAATTTTGAGACAACCCAGATGACCAATTTACCAAGATTGCATAACGATATATAAGGAAACACCAGATCAATTACAGAAGGTCAAATTATTCTCAAGGCTAAGTTAATACAAATTAATCAGCGATTAGGCGCCAAAGAAACAACGTTGTTTCCAAGTCTTCCAAGATCTTCCATTTCCAATTCAATCACCTGTTACAGCCATTAAGAATTGAGCACGCCGAAACCTACAAACTGATGGAGTGGAGGATTAAACATGTATGCATCTACGCTGCATCAAAGAATCCCACTAAGCCATGTCCAACCGTTTGTGAATCACTGCACGGTTACTTCCATAATTCAATCACCTGTACTGATCCTGCAGATGCTTGATTTGCTGCACGGTTACTTCCATAATTCTTTCGGTTTGATTCCCTTGCAATTCTTGAACCAAACTAAAACAGAAACACAGAAAAACCCATGATTAATTCACCTACACCATCAAAGTTCTACGCATGCTAAGCCCCGAAAAAAAATAGGGAGAAACAGGAAAGAGGGAAAGAGAAAAGAACACCTGTATAGCTCTTTTAGGCAGAGAAGCAGCTTCATGCAAACCAAGCAATTCTGCAACCTGCATAGCCACCATAGAATAGGAAAACAATTTAGCGCTTGGTCGAGATTCACAAAGTGAGAGAACATTGTATTCAGTAGAATCAGTACACATCAAGTGCAAAAGTAGATCAGACATTACTCAAACACTGAGCAAAGGAATTAGCACTGACCTCTCTCAGAATCTTCTTATCCCCTATCCCACTCGGCTGATCAAGGTTGGTAACCTCCCAGAGAGGAAACCCAAGCAAAATTCTTATAACATCTTCATCCAGGAACGGAAATCTTGCCTAGCACAAATTAAGACCAAAATCAACACGTAACACAAGTCAAGGAGAAAACGAAAGATATGTATCCAAATTGTTAGCAGTACCTCCTTGCCATGGTCAGCAATGCACCTATCATCTCTCCCAAGGTTTCTTTTCCAAATTCTCTGCATGTCCAATTTCATTTCCTCGTTCAGTGCAAGCCAGCTGAAATACAGTAGACTAACAGAATGAGTACCCGAAAACATTTAATACTCTACACCACTGTAATCTAATTACATACCTGCCATTTCTATATTTCGTTCTGTGCCTACCATAGCCAGCGCATTGCTCATCTGCACCCGAACCAACAAGAAGAATCCTAGCCTTGGACTTGTACTTAATGCATCGACAATCCTCATCATTATAATTGGTATTTTCCTCATATACCCATCCATCGCCACCAGCAGCAAGCCACAAAGCTATTCCTATATTCAGGTCCTGCAACACTAAATAACATAAAACACCTATCTGGAAACCTTAGCATACTTGTGATATTAATTCAGTCAAACAGAAGAAAAAAAACAAACAAACAATTATAAAATATCAGCAGGAACATGTCCTGGACAAATGTAACGTACACTAGCCATAGAATGAAATTGAGTACCATGTAGGTGTTGGCAGGATTTATAAGCGACATGACATGCTTTGTTTCAAAGATCAATGTTGACAATTCAGCATTGATCTCCACAAGCTTCCACCTGCATTTCCAATTGCATATTGTAAGGAACACCATAAGCTTTAAGAATGGAGTCAAACCAACAAGGTCTTTAATCCAAAGCTAAGTGATTTTGAGTATGCGGACCATAAACACTTCTCTGAAAAGCACATTATAATGTATCTTTGCATTAAACAAATAATCCACAAGTATGCTATGTTATGCATGTGTTGAGCCAATAACATTAAACTGATATAGATTCGTGAGAAAAGTTTAGTAAGTACTTTCTTGAAGGTGCAATTCTTCTCAGTTCGTTTACTCCTGCCCTGGCAGAGATTCTGTCAGGAGCAGACCGACCATCAAAGCTCACATTAAGTAGATCAATATCATCTGGCAGCAGAAGTTTAAATAAAAAATCAACTCAGCTAAAGATATTACACAATTATTCCACAATGCGATAGGCAAACTCAATTTCTTCAGGCAAAAATTGAACTAAGGCAAAAGAAACTGCTAACCTAGCTTATCCAGCTACACTTACAGCTTGGATCAAGGCACTGATGCAATAATGCTGCAATTATCATAGAATCCAATCCACCGGAAAAAAGAACTGCCACCGGTACAATTTCCTTCCTCATATCAAGCCTACCTGCCTAATAAACATTAAGAAGTTAAAACTTAAAAATACATCATTGAGTATTTAATAGTACCCTAGCACATAGAACCAGAAAGATGACAATTCAATAGAATAAGATTTCTGAACCTGAAAAACTGTGTGCAGTGAAGAGCGACGCATAACAGATTCCCTTAAAGCAATCAGCACCGCCTGTGCTGGCACTGAAATTGAAACTTGTATAGACCCTACTCAGTCAAAACAAAAGGCACAATGACAACCTCAGACAACAAAACCCATAATAAAAGTCATACTGAAAGTTCAGATTTTTCTGACTAACGATTAGATTCCTGCACCAAAGATGATATTAACCTGATTTAATTGGTACTATATCTGAGTTAACCAAGCGCGTATCATGTTTCCCTGTAAGACTCTTCGAATGGGAAATATGTAAATCTTCAGGTTTAGGTTCAACATAAGTTCTCTCCCATTTAATCAGTTCTTCTAGCACAGGATTAGTCCAATCATGCTTTTTCACTTCACCAACCAAAACCCCATCAACATCTGGAGCATCCATAGATATACTGTATATTCCACAACGGAGCTCTTCCCAAAAATTCAGCTTCGTAGTTCCATTTTCAGCTTCAATATCTACTACAGTCCATTGACGTTATTTATTAATACATACGGTTCCATACTACACAGTCCAAGATTAAGAAACAAGATTGGCAAGAAAAATAAAGCTCTACCGAGCGATATATACCAGAAGAATGTTCATTTGAAGAAACAGGTGAAACAGATGATAGCAGAAGCCGAGAGTCCTCCTCCGTTGGCCAGTGAACAAGAAGACTCCGCCTACCAAACGCATCTCGAGCAAACCACAGAGTTTTTGCACTTTCCTATTGTGGAAAAAGATAAACAACTCAGAAACATATCCAAATTAAGAAAGCTGCTGCAGCAAATGCTGTAAACTAAAACCAAACTTACCACTCGACGTTACCTGCCAATAGATGATAGCCCAAGGCCCTTTGATCCTAGAAAGAACACCTGGAATCGAACCCGAACAGCACTCTCCCAGCAACTGCAGAAGGACTTCGCCATCGTTCTCATCACTACCAATATCTATTCCACCAAAGATTTCACCTTTCAAAAACAACTTTACAGCAGAATCAAAATTCAATATCCAACAGCAAGAAAACTTAAACAAAATGCAATGCTACAACAAAAAAAAAAGAAGGAGAAACTCAAAAACAAATGCATACCATTATAAACAAGGATATTCTTGGCCGAATCTATCAATGGCTGAACTACAGGGCTTACTCCCCTGAGCTGCAAAGTGGCACCCAGGAAGTGCAACTCAGCAGACGAACAGGGAACGGTTCTGAAATGGGTAAGCAAATGAGGTGTTCGACCATTTTCCAAAGAGAAACAATTGCCTTCATCGCCTTCGCAACTAGACTCCTCCTTTACTTCCCCCTCGATGGAAGACACAATTTCTTTCACCGGGAGACGATTCAAAATGGGTGAATGGAGAAGAAGCTTCGTGCTGCCTAAGCTATCGGGGCCCCTCCTCCGTAAAGCTTCTCTGAGGTCGTCAATGTCGAATGCAAGCTGCTCAGTACCAACAAAGTCGGTTAGCTAAATTGTGAAGCCAAAAAGCTTCGATTTTTCATGGAAAAACAGAAGAAGAAGGAGACTGACTTGGTCGGAGTTGAGGACAGGAAGTGTGGAATTGAGAAATAGGGACGATAGATGAAAACGAATGCCGCAAATGATCAAAGCGATTCCGCACATTTCTGTTGGTGTATGATTGCCACCCACCCTAAACCCTAATTTTTTAAATTTTGGGGGTTTTACTGTTTGCTATTATACATCTCCTCCCAGCAACATGGCATAAAGCACCAATCATAGCCGTTAGATCATAAACTTTTCCATTATCTTAAACAAATCAAGGCCGTCAAGTTTAAATATTTGTACAATATTAATTTATTGGAAAAATTGATGAAAATGATTCGAAAACTTTAAGTTTTAACGATAAAGGTAAAATAAAAAATAAAGTGAATAGTACAAGAATTTTAGTGTAAAAATGTAATTTTTTGTTAAAATAAACGGTACATAAAGCTTTTCATTAAAATTGGCTAATTTATATTGGTGCTTGCATAAAAGCGTGAATCCGACCAAAAAAAAACTCTCCCGAACTGTAAAAATACGAAAAATTCCCTCCAACTCCAGGTAAAGGCAGTTGGCGAGAGAGGAGAACGAATCGTAGGAAAACCCAAACAAATCGCCTACAATAAATCTCAACCTTCGCATCTCCAGATTCTCCCCACCAATTACTACTCTCTATCTCTCTATCCCTCTAATTTTCTCTCTCCTCTCTGGAGTTGGAGCCCCGCAGCGCTTCTTTGGCCCGCACACTCCGACCTGCTGCCGTCATGGTGCATTTCGATTCCTCTCTTCTGGGTCGTTGAGTTTTTTTATTGATTGCATTGTATTGTGAACGGACGGTTGTGATTGTTTGAATCCGATTCTGCTGCGTCTTGCTGTTCATAGTTTTCGGATCCGACTTTTGTTTTATTTGCTATTTGATTTAAATACTCGTTTGTTTTTGTAAGGGTTTCTGATTCGTGACATAAAGTCTGTAGATTTCGGTCCAGAAACAAAACAAAAAGAAAAAGATTGTAAATTTGGATCATATCATTTTTATTTAATTCCGTTATAAAATTTAACAATAACTTTGTAGTTGCAGAAATGGCAAATCAATCAGAAAACCGACCTACAGCAACGGACGTGGGCAATATTTTCATAAACCAATATTATGATTTCTTTCAAAACGATCCTCAGGTGCTCCATAAATTTTACCAGGACTCAAGTGTGCTATCTCGTCCTGGACCAGATGGTTCGACGACGACAGTGACAACTATGGAAGTATGTCTTGTAAAAAGTTTAGTAGTTTCTTTACAGATTCTCATTACCTTGTGATTTTAAGATAACCGGTATGACATGAAACGACATGAACACGACAAACTCGACCCGTTTGCCAGCCCTAATGGGAATTGGTTGGGGGATTGGATTGTTAATATGGTGGCCTTTAGCTGTTCTTTCTTGCTTCTTTTGCCTGCATTGGTCTTTGGCGGCTTTAGTTGTTAAAAAATTTCATGTTGGCATTCATTCCGGTTTTCCGCTTTCCCTTGTTTCTCTATTGGCACAAATTTTAGGGGTGTTTAAGCAGCGTGTTTGTGTTGACCAGAGTTCGTATTCTGATGATTTAATCGGTCTTTGTTTTGAAATAGGGCATTGAGAGCATGCTACTGTCCTTGGGCTACCATAATTATGGTGATTTAGAGATATCGACTACTGATTCTCAGTTTTCATTCAATGGTGGAGTGATTGTTTTAGTGACTGGGTATTTAACTGGGGATGACAACGTGCGAAGAAATTTTTCTCAAACTTTCTTTCTTGCCCCGCAACACAACGGATACTTTGTCTTGAACGATATCTTTAAATATGTGGATGTTGTGCCAAGTAATGTCGATGAAAATACACCAGAAGCTCCAGTGCCCTCGAACCATGGTATGTTATATGGTGTAGGTGCTGGTTTGCTGGTTGGTTGTTGCTTCACTTTTTGGAAAACAAATTATTTATGGATATTATGTTATCAGTTGTTACAGAGCCCGCTGCCGTTGCTGATCAGCCCGTGGTCAGTCAAACTACATCTGTGGAGGTTAAAAATACTAATGGAATGAGAGGGAATGATGTGATGGAAATTATTCCGGAACCTGTTACTAAATATAGTGTTAGTGCTGATGATCCCATTGAATCAAGACGGAGTGTTGCCCTGAAAGAAACGGAAGCCACAGCTTCTAACACCCAGAATGATGCTCCGAAGAAGTCTTTTGCAGCGGTGGTGAGTTATTGTTTGGGGTATCTTGTAGTTGGTACTTGGCATCACTCGACTTGTACTTATTATCTGATTGTTTGTTTGGTTCAGGTGACTGCTTGAGTGAGAATAAAGCTCCATTTGTTGTGAGGACACCTGCACGAAAACCTGCACCCAAACCTGTTGAGCAACCGCGTGCACCTGTAACGCCTGAAGCTTTAACTCCCCGAAACAACACTGCTATGGAAAAGAATAATGTCCCTGCAGGTTGATATTCCTTTTACGGTGTAGTATTAACATTCACCTGTTTTGTCTCTGCCAATTTACGAGGTGATAATAACTTTGTCGCTGTTGGGGAAAAGTATTCATACATTGTACCCTTCTTATTTACTGTTGCAGTTAAGTCTCATGCCATTTTCGTCGCCAAGTTGCCCATGGATGCGACTCGTGAAGAACTGGAGAAGGTATTCAAGCCTTACGGACCCATCAAGCGCAACGGGATTCAAGTTAGAAGCAACTGGGTATGCTCTACGTTTTGTGTGTATTCTTCTTGAATTAACCCTTTTGGTTTATTGCTACTTACTCCTCGTGCATCCAGAATCAGGGAAACTGTTTCGGGTTTGTGGAATTTGAATCTGCTGACTCCATGCAACGTGCGCTTAAGGCATCCCCGATCAAATGCGGCGAATATGAGCTACACGTTGAAGAAAGACGAGGCAAGTTGAAACGTTATTCATTGCTTCCTCAATTATGCGCATTTCTCTTGTACAAAATTCAAATATTCTCACGATCTCTTTTATTCATACAGCCGGCGACAAAGGAAGGTTCTCATCAGGAAGGGGTGGCTACCGAAATGACAACTTTAGGGGCCGCGAGAACTATGGGCGTGATAATTACACCGAAGGCCGCGGGAACCACAATGAAGGCCGCGGGAACTACAATGAAGGCCGCGGGAACTACAATGTAGGCCGCGGGAACTACAGTGGAGGCCGTGGTTATGGAAGAGACGATCAGGAGAAGAGGGGCGAATACCGTGAAATATCTGGTTCAGCAGCGAGGGGGAATGCCGGGCGCAATGCAGAAGATTATCAGAACCACAAGTCTTACCAGAATGGAGGAAACGCTCCTCGTCAAACTGCGAAATCCGCTGCTGCTTAAATTAGACTAAGGAACTTAAAACATAAGAAGCTTATTTACTTGGAGAGATTTCATACAAAAGGCATTAATTTTTGGTAGGCACAAGTTAGAGAGCGGCCATGTTACTTAGTAGGTCTTTGACCTTTCTGAGTTTTCCCCAGTTTTTTTATTATTCTCTTATCTCTTTTTTTTTGGGTCTAAAAAAATGTTTGAACAAGCAATAGTCCCGAAAGGATCGCTAATGAAATACCGCATTTAGAAGCTCATTTACACCGCAATGTAGACAAAAATGGAATTGTGAGGATGGGAGAAACTATATTTTGGTGGAATAATTATTGTTGGAAGTTTCATATTTATGCTGCTGATTTTCCATCATATGTTTTTTGGTCTAAAAATGTACGTCGAGCAGATTTATGTGTAGTTAATCAAGTTATCTTATACAAAATAATTTTAATTATACTAAATTATCGCTTGAATAGAGGATTGAGTCATGATATAACGGAAAATATTACTTTTTCGGTGCTAAAAGATCACGAATTCAAATGATGTGAAAAGCGATTGATGATTTTTCCGACACGAGTCTTTTTAGCCCAAGATCGCCCTTCTTTTTGTCGCTCGAATAAAAGATGCAAGCGCTTGTGGCGTTTGTTGGTGCCACGCTTTCCTTCAACTTGTGGGGATAGATCCAAGTTACAACGCCTTTCCAGACGGTGCACGTAGCAGCGGGGGTATTTTAGTCCTTTAGGACATGGTGCAAGACACACCTGTATGTTATTGTGGATTGCGAACACGTGGCGACCAGAAGTGTCGGAGAATCTTTCGTCACTCCACTTCAACATCAAGTACGTGTCGTATCAGATCATCATCTCCACAAGATCCCCTTCTTTATTCCCTTTTTTCTCTCTTTCTTGACCATTTTTCTCTCTTTTCTCTTTTCTTTTTCGCTTACTATTATCTGTTTCATGGCATTTCTTTTGGCTTTTTGAATTTTTATTTTTAATCAATATTTAATAATTGAAAAAACATCAATTTTCTTATCTTTATTAATTAATGAAATCTTGTTTATCGATCAAAAGATGATGAAAAGATAACTTAATATTCTATCACATAAAAAAATGATGGGCAATAATGTAATTTCATATGTCTAAATTTTACTATTTTTTATTAAAGCTCACCTACATGTGATGTTAAAATACATTTAATATTAAAATAAAAAATCCAAAAACAAAAATTTCCCACTTCTCTTACGTTATCTCTCTCTCCCTCTCTCCTCATATTCTAAAAAAAAAATGTGTTTATACACACAAAATGTGTAAGCAAATTATAGTAATTAATTCAAGAAACTGATTATTAGCAGAAAATTAGAATTATCATTTCAAAAATCTTATTTTTACTTCAAATTTTTTATAATTAAAAAAAATATTCATGAAGAGTGCAAAATAATTCTTAAAGTGCTAATAAAGTTATCTTATTTCACACTATTTCGTTTATTCTATTTATTAAAAAATGAATAAATTGACACTTTAAAATTTTTATTGTACACCTTTGATAAATGTATTTTTTTTAATGAACAATAATTTATCCACTAAGATGTGAGAAAGTAGGTTAAGTTTCAAAATAAGCTAGCAATAATATGATTCAAATTCGACTTTAGCGAGAATTAAACCTAAGACATTTCATTTACAAGTGAAGAGAAATACCACTATAATATAGTAGTAAGTAACATTTGTATTTTAATTTTTAAATATTAGAAATTTAAAGTCCAAATTTTTGTAAAAGAGAGGGGGGGACCACCCATCCACTTCGACACGTATCCACGTCCGGCCTTAGACGTGGCACCGCCTAGTTCTTTTACTATTTATAAGGTGGGAAACCACAACTTGCCACTGCGGGTCCCGCTTCGTTACTCATGAATAACACGATGACGACATGTTTCTTGTTTGGAAGCACGTGCATCACACTCTACTCGCCCGATCTCTCCTTTCTTCATCGTTGACTTTTTTGGTAACAAATGTTGACTACATCGTCATACTTTTGAAATTGGTAGAAACTTCAAAGTTCGCCCGCCAACTCGCGTGCTATTTCTTTTACTAGAAGATAAAAGTGTGAAGCATACATATATCGTTTTCTAACCCTAGATGAATCCCACACTGTAAATTTAAAAAGTTTGAAAAATATATATACAACAACAGAGAAATTAGAGTGAAATGTAACAAAGAAAAAAAGAGAAAAAAAAAGGACAAAAAATGTGGATTTAAAAAAGAAAATTAGAAATGATATGGTGACATGTAACTCACGATTTTTTATATGATTGCTCAAGATTTTAATGCAGAATTTACTCTATTTCAAATCTATATGTATTAGTAGACATGAAAAGTAGGAATCTGATGCCTCTATTCGTTTATAAATTGTATTTTTATTTTTTGTATCTACATAATTTATAATGAGATTTTAACATTCTAGAACGCCAATAGCCCATATGTTAACAACCATGCGTGTTTTCTTGTTATTTAATAGTCTACTTGGCAGACTCAGGAAAAGACACTAGTGAAACGATGGATTTAAAAAACAGCATGATTTATTATTTCGTCGTATCTTGGTAGGAGTTGTAAGATAATCTACCTATAAAGCACGACTATAGTAACTTAACCTAAAAAGCTATAATAAAAAATGGTTCCATGTTATACAGGTTTGGATATTGAAAAATAATATCGTACAAGTTATAACCTTAATTAATAATATAAAAACTCACAACAAATTAAATTATCCGATTTAAATCTGTTTAGCTAAGAAGATGATAGAGAGAAGAGTAATATCATGCTGTTAGTCAAATAATCGAAACGACAGCTATGGCCTAAGCACGACTAAGAATAAACAAACACAAGTGGACAAGTAGCTGAAGAGATATGTTCGATTCTATAATTTTATGACATGCTCAGATCATTGCCGTAAAACGTTATTATTTTACTCAAATTATATCATATTTTCACGAACATTAACTATAAACTGTTTCTAAATAATAACGCGTAAAATATAACAACACATGACGGTGTTGTTCTGTTCATCCTGAAAATATTATAAGCACCGGCAGCAGCAGCAGAGTTTAACTAGACCCAAAACCTACGCCGAGGAACTTTACGAGGCCAAACCAGTCCCGCCCACGTGTCTCGTAAGCGCTGTCCATGTTAGACCGACACGTGGTTCTATCCCCCTCATTCAGTCTCCTCCCGAAACGTGTCTCTGGAAGGACAGGTTACTGTTACTGTGGAGACGACAAAAAGAGAATGCCGGTCAGGCTACGTGTCGCCACGCTATTCCTCAAAGCAGCCACTTGGCTCCGCCCAAGTAGTTCTTGCTTGTCAAAACGCCAAGGGCATTTTCGGAAATCCAACAGAAAATCGCCCCACAATCTCCCTCTCCGGTCTCTGCTTTTCTTTCTTTCCCCTTTCGTCCTCACTCTTTTGTTTTTCTCTCGATCTTCATTTTTTTTTCTCAGCCAATTTTCTGGGAGTTTACAGTATCCGTAATCTCGGATATCTCTCAACTCGGGAATTAAACTCGGCCGAGTTGAAAACGGACGACTCATAAAGAAGCAGAGAGAGAGAGAAACGGCTTTCTTTGATGGGTCGTTTCTGAATCGGATTTTGAACTGAAAGCTGCGAAGGTTGTCGTTCTGCCATCTTAAACAAGTTTCTGCTGATTCAGATAAAAGCTTCAACCTTCGAATCTGCAGATACACATATATAGCTTCTGAAGCATATATACGCACTCATATATATATATATATATATATATATATATATATATATATCTGTTTTTTCCATGGGGGAAGCTAATGAAAGGAGAAGGAGAGCAATGGAAAATCTCTCTCTGCAAATGGATAAGTACCCGAGAGATTTGCTGCAGAGATTAATGTGCAGAAGCAACGACGCAACGACGCAGTTGCAATATGCAGAGGCTAACGAAGAAGAAGAGTCGGATGAGCTGGAGTTGAATCTCGGGCTTTCGTTGGGCGGCCGATTCGGGGTCGACAAGAGTGCCAAAAACAAACTAATCCGATCTTCGTCGATTGCCGGGACGATGCCGTTTGTGAGGGACGACAACGAAGCGACTGCGCCGTCGTACACGGCGGGGCTGATGAGGACGTCTTCGCTTCCGGCGGAGGCGGAGGAGGAGTGGAGGAAGAGGAAGGAGTTGCAGACGCTGAGGCGGTTGGAGGCGAAAAGGAGGAGGTCGGAGAAGCAGAGGAACTCAAAGGCCGAGAAAGAAGGGGGTTCTGTGGAGGAGGAAAAGCGCGAACTTGAGGGCTCAGTTGGGCCCAATTCGGCGGGTGGTAGGGGTAATCGGACGGCAGGGCCGCCTTTCGGGTTGCCTAGTTGGGTTGCGGCAGCAGTTGCTAGGCAAGCTGCTAGTGGCAGTGGCAGTGGCAGTGGCGGTGGCGGAGTGGAAAAAAATGCATTCACGAAATTCAATGGTGAGATTTTGAGTGGGTTGCAAGGATTTGGAGGACAACCCATTTTGCAGGCCTCGGCGGAGTCGCAAGGCGGAAGCTCATCGGGGATGTCGGAATTGGAGAGTAAACCTCTTCAAGGTATTTCAATTTTTCTTAATTCGGTTTCTTAATCTGAATTTTGATGAATTTTTTTCGATTGAAATTCAGTTGTTAAGTGATTGGTTTTACTATACTATGGTCTGAAGTATTCCTCTTCGCTTAAAAGGAGAGGTCTTATGTTCGAATTTATTGGATGGCAAATTGAAAACCAAATTAGGCTGTTTATTGTATGACTTAGCGCCTGTATAAAAGTATCGATGGATTCAAAATATAAAAAATAAAAAAAAGTGATTGGTTTTACTTTGATTAGGTGGGTTCTTTTGTTTTGTTTTGGACTAGGATTATAGGAGTGTCGGACAAGTCTGCTACTTTAGAAGATGGCGTCTTGAGTTGTTTTCCCATGTAGCCTTTCTCTTTTGTTCATTGTTGTAGATTGGTGTGTTTTAATCACGTGTGTGCTCGCTCTTTTTAGTTAATGGAGTGCGATGCAAAGTTGGGTTGCTTTTAAAATTTGGGGACATGAGTTTCTCAGCTTAACTCACCTAAACGGTTGTTTTCTGTTCGTTACGGTTTAGTTTCCAGAAAGTGATTGATCACACAGACTCAATTCGATATGAAACACAGAAAGAACTTTTGGCGGAAGCTCCTTTTGGAAGGGATGTGTCACCAACGTCAAGTTGATCGGGAAATTTAGGTTTAGCTCAAAACTACAAACACTAAATGGAGGACATGGGGTAGTATGGTACCCGAAAGTTCACTTTATAACATCTAAAGGTTGCTAGTTGTTAGCGAATAGGCCGACAATGCATATCAAGCTAAACTTTCTTAGAGCGAAACTCTTGTTAGAGCTAAAGTCTCTCCTTAGCATTGTTTTTGAATTTGAAAAGGATGTGTCTTGTGGCTGCATTTTTGTAAGATGCAGGTAGGGATTGCTTTCGTTTCCAAGTGAGATTCACGATGTAGCTGATCGGAGTTCACCTTCCACCCTCATGCATGATAGATTTTATCTGAGAATTTCCCAAGGGGAGCGGAAAATGATGTTGTAGTTATACAAGAATGTCGTTGCAGCACATGCTGCAGCAGCTGCACTGATCTCTAACCTGTTCATTGCTGCCGGATACGTAACTGAGGCAGTACAGGGTGCAATTACCACCAGTGATTCGTTCACCTGGATTGTGGACAAACTGAGATGCGGTATGAGCAATCTAGAGAAGTAAATATCAAAGCTTCTAGTGCTCAGTGGAAGTTGTTTTCCATTTGATATTGCAGCCTAAACCGAGATGCATAGCATTCTGACCAAAATGAAATATTGATTAGCTTATCCTAGGAACTGTACTCTTATGATGTAGTCAGGTAGTCTATGGAAGTAGCTTTCTTGTCTGAAGCTGGCTTCTTTCTATCCGTCTTCGTCGATGTGAAAACCTTGTTCGTTGGGATGGATTGATATGTAGTTCAAGAGGCTCTTACCTGCAGTGTCTTCAAATTTCGAAATTTGCTAATGTGAATTTGAATGTTGAAATCATAGATTCCACAAACAGGTGAAGGAGAAGAAACAAAAGAGGTAACACTGCTACTTCTAACCTCATAGTTTTCCCTTCACATCACAGGAACCAGCAGCTGCGGTGAAGCAAGAAACCCTACACCCGCTAGCAACCAGTCGCTTCAAGAACGAAGTAAAAACACCGTTGGCTCTTCAGGCACGGGAACAACAGACGACGCATCCAGAACTCCCAAACCCGACATAGAGAACCCGTCTAGGAAGCCAAATACGCAAGAAAACAGCAAAAGGGAAACGAGCAGGAACGGGATGGAGGACATGCCTTGTGTTTTCACGAAAGGGGACGGCCCAAATGGTAGAAAAGTTGAGGGGATTCTGTACCGATATGGGAAGGGAGAGGAAGTGAGAATAATGTGTATATGCCATGGAAGCTTTCTGTCTCCGGCGGAGTTCGTGAAGCATGCAGGAGGGAGCGATGTCACTAACCCACTTAGGCATATTGTTGTAAACCCAGCTGCCACTTCCTTTTTGTAAACAAAAAGGAGAGAAATTTAAATTTGATATATATATATTTTTTGTTTGTTTATTTATTTTTATTTTTGGTAAGAGGTCGCACTTGGTGCGATGGCAAGTGCCTTCGCCCATGAGCGGTAGGTCTCAGGTTCGAGACTTGGGAGCAGCCTCTCCATAAAATGGGGGTAAGGCTAGCCGACATTCACCTCTCCCAGATCCTGCGTAAAGCGGGAGCCTTGTGCACTGGGTACGACCTTTTATTTATTTTTATTTTTGGTGAGTTCTAGGTATTGAATTTAAATAAATTAATATCTATGCACGACAGCAGTGTGTTGCGTGTTCATGGTATCCGCGATTGTCTTCGTCTCTAAAATATAGCTTTCTTTTTTCCTTAAAGCTTTATATATTTCTCTTATAAGTTTAGAAGAGTCGAATATGGTGTCGTCTTTTTCTTACAACGTCTAGTTTCTCTTTACGATCCGAAACACCCCGAATCCATTTCTTTTAATCAAGAATTGTTGGTCATGACGTTTGAACTCAAAATCTCCTCCAGCAAAGTGAAAGATTGAATCGCATTAGACGGAACGATTAAAGGTCGTACCCAGTGCACAAGGCTCCCGCTTTACGCAGGATCTGAGAGAGGTGAATGTCGGCTAGCCTTACCTCCATTTATGGAGAGGCTGCTCTCAAGTCTCGAACCCGAAACTTACCGCTCATGGACGAAGGCACTTGCCATCGCATCAAGTGCGACCCCTAAAATTTATAATTTAGAGCAGTTCCAGCCTTGTAAATAGGCCGGGGGACAGGGGAGAAGAAAAGGTCCGAGGGCCTGTCAAGTTGCTCCAGCCATGAAGAGCCCGAGCTCGTGGAGAAGGCCCGAGCAGGGGGCCTGTCAATTTGTGACAGCCCCGGAGCCCGAGCTCCAAGCCCATTTTTTATTTTTTTCTGTCAAGCGCGTGCACCCCACTCGCGCGTGGGGGCGCGTCGCCCGACAACTTTTCAGAAAAGCATACGACTTTTCAAAATGTCATAGTTACCGTTGGGAAGCCACGTGGCTTCCCACGGTCCGTTCGATCTCAACGGCTCATTCATTTAGACCGTTGGATCTCAACGGTAAAAAAAAAAAAAAAAACATCTTATTTAATATCAACCGTTCAATCTGAGATCAATGGTCGATATTAATATGCTTTATAAATAAAGAAAAAATAGTTTTAAAATTAAGAAAAGTTACCGTTGTGACACGTGGCACAATCTGGAGTGTTGGAATTCAAATTTTTTTAAATCCAACGGCAGAAATTAATTATTTGAAAAAAAATTAAAAAAAATGGAAAAAATCCGAAAAAAAATTGTAAAAAATCTGAAAAAAAAATTGTAAAAAATTGTTTTTACTTTTCTATAAATACCACTTCTTCTCCATCTACCTTACACCACAATTTCATATTTTCTCAACCACTTTCAATCAAATTCTTATCCTTCTCTCAAAGTTTCAATACAATTTTTTTTCCACAAAATGACTACTGATGCAGGTACGAATTGGTCGCTTCTTGAAGATGTTGCGTTGTGCACTAGCTGGGTTGAAGTTACTCATAATTCCCTTACGAGTAATGAGATGCAGTTGCGAGAAATGTGGATGACTCGACGTTGCCTGCTTCTATCAAGGTTTCTTGAACGGTTGGGCCTGCATATCTGAGCAACAGTCTGGATGACTCGACGGGAATGTGAGGCTCTGGCCATTCTTGTTTCGTCATCTCTCCTTCTACGCTTCTCATCCTCTTCCATCTCATTTTCGGCAATCTGAAGGTTGAACATTCTTTCAGATTGGTTAAACAATTCTTCCTCTTGCTGATCGATTTCCCACATCATCCTTGATGAAGAAGAAGACATTGTAATGATGGATGGATGGTGAAGAAGAAGCATAAACTATGAATAATGAGATAGATATGTTGAGAAAATTGGTGTGAGATTTGTGAGGATGGATGGTGGATTATATGGTCGATTCAGAAAGGATTGGATTGTAGATAAGGCCACGTGGCATGCCGTCATTCGTTAAAAATCTGATCGAAATCTATCCTCAAAGATTCTGAAAAGATAATGACATGTGGCACGATCGTATTGGATAAAAATCTTATCGAAATCGATCTCCAATAATTATCTTTTCGGATAATGACACGTGGCGGAATTTTGAATGAGTTAAAATCTGATCAAAATCTATCGTCAAAGATTCTCAAAAGATAACGACACGTGGCACGATGACATTGGATAAAAATCTTCGCTAAATAATTGTTTTTTTTTATAAAATGACACGTGGCGCAACGAGAACGATTTAAAAAATCTTATCCGAAATTACAAATAATTTTATTTTGTATTATTTAAACAAACAAAAAAAACTAATATTTTATTGCCTATTGCCAGAGGGGAGGGCTCTAAGGGTGAAGATGCAAATGGCAATTACTGTTCATTAATGGCAGTTACTATTCATTAAAGGCAGTTACTGTTCAAAATGATGGATTCAATAGTGGATTGCCAGGGGGAAATGCTCCATGGGTGGAGTTGCTCTTAGCTGTGGGTTTAGGTATCTTCCCTCTAAGAGCAACTCCACCCATGGAGCCTTCCCCCTGGCAATCCACTATTCAATCCACCCTATTGAACAGTAACTGCCTTAAATGAATAGTAACTACCATTAATGAACAGTAATTGCCATTTACATCTCCACCCTTGGAACCCTCCCCCTGGCAATAAGCAATTAAAATAATAATTTTTTTTGTTTATTTAAATAATAAAAAATTGCAAAAGCTCTGTTCCCTCTCTCTCTCTCTCTCTCTCTCTCTCTCTCTCTCTCTCTCTCTCTCTCTCTGACACAAAAAAAAAAAAAATTGCAAAGCCCTCGGGCCACAGGCCCGTCGACTCCCCACCCCCCCCCTTCGCTCGGGCTCCCACCGTCGCTCGGCCTCCACACGGGTGGACCTCTCTCCACCGGGCCTCCGGCCCCTTCTTCTCCACTGTCCCTCGAGCAACCCACATGGGTGGAGTTGCTCTAATGTTATAAAAAAATAATATAAATAAATAAATAAAAATAAATCCTGTCTGGATATTATTCTGGATTAATATTTGACTTGTTGGGTAATAAGATCCTCTGCATAATTGTGCTGTTTTATTTTTAAGGTTTTAAAAAATAGTGTGCAAACTTTCTTTAGGACATTGTAATAATTTTCGTGACGTCTATTTTTCCCTCATGCGTACTTTTGTTTTTTTTTAATCTCTTAATTATCCTTCGATTATTGATTACAAATCCAAAATAAACAAGGGCATGCAAAGAAAAAAAGTAGGTACGCAAAAATCATTTCTTGAAGTGAAAATAGCGCATCGAAGCGATTGTATAAATTATATCAGTTGTTGCCTCTTACACATAGGAAAAAGTAAATGACTAGAGATAACATGACAATCAACTGCCACCCATTTTTCACCAAGAAATAACTAGTCTAGCTCTAGTGACACCACAGCAGTCATCGGAAAGTTTGAACTAAACAGGGAGGAGATTCTACAAGTACTAGGAAATCTTTGCTATTTAAACTCAATTTGGCTAACCCGTCAGCTGCAAAATTACGCTCTCTATGAACATGCAGCAAATTGCAGCAACTACTACCCATTTTTCAGTTAAGATTATGGATGATCAATTGCAAATGAACTGAGACATCTACTTGTATAACCGCAGGGTTGAAAAAATTTCTCAGCTCAGCAGAATATGCTTGTTGCAGGAAAAACAACAAACTGGAAACCAAAATTCAACTACGCAGAAATGTACAAACTACAAGAATGTCATACCTTCTACACTTCTAGGTTATGATCGCTAGCTCTATACTTTGCTCGTTATCCGCCTTCCTTGAAATAGGTTGGATTCGCTTTAATCTTTCGACGACTTGCTTCATCGTTGGCCTAGAGGCGAGGGTCTTGACTGTGCACGCGACAGCCAAATTCAACATCTCGACTAGATCATTCTGGGGTCCTGCATCCCATAGCCCTTCTACGAAGACCTCCTTATCCTGACCCCTTTCTAACAGCATGTCCACCCAAGAGACAATGTTGAAACCATCGCCATGTGATGAAAACGAAGGGTCTAAGGGTTTTTTGTACGACATCAATTCAAGCAGCACCACACCGTAACTGTAAACATCAGACTTTTCAGACACATGGCAAGTCATCGCATACTCTGGTGCTACGTACCCAAAAGTCCCTGCTGGACCAGTTGTTGCGTGTGTTTCTGAAGTTCCCAAAAGCCTAGATAATCCAAAGTCAGACAAGTAAGCATTGAACTCATCATCCAACAGTATGTTACTTGGCTTGACATCACGGTGTAGGACACGCGGAATACACTCGCCATGCAGATAAGCAAGTGCACGGGCTATATGCAAAGCAATCTTGTGGAGAATTTGCCAATTAAAAGGCCTCCGAGATCTCTCCTTGATAAAGTTTTCCAAATTCCCTCCTGGTAAATAATTATATATGAGCAACATATCAGTTTCACTGGCATGGTAACCTATTAAAGTCACCAGGTTTGGGTGTCTCACCCTACCAAGGGTTTTAATCTCAGCATGAAACTGTTGAACACCGTGAAACCTTCCAACAGCTAGCCTTTTCACAGCTACAGTGATTCCTGGAGCAATTTCAGCTTTGTAAGTGGCCCCAAATCCTCCGCTGCCAATGTGGTAGCTGCCATTAAAATTCCCTGTTGCTTGAACAATATTCTCAAATGTCAATGGAGCCCCAATGTCTGTAAACAGAGTCATTTCTTTATATTCAAAACCCTGAACCCTGGAATCTGGTATCCACTTTCTCATATAAAAGAACAGGATAACAAGAGAGAGCAGAACCAAAACAACAGCCGATGCAGCTGCTATGGATGCGATCTCGATTGTGCCTAATCCACTATTATCATCACCACCAGTAGTTGCTGATAGAGAATCAGGGTTATGTTGTGAACTCCCATAACTATCTGGCTGATCTGAAGATGGAGCAGTTAGCGAAACAATATGGCATGGAATGAGGAAAGGGTTCCCAAGGACACTGCTGCAGTTCATCATGCTATTGTTCAATGGAAATGAACCAGACAGGTTATTGAAGGAGGCATTGAATGTAGATAGGGATTTCAGATTAGTCAAGCCTGAAGGGATGTGCCCAGAGAGTTTGTTGTTGTCGAGCAGAAAAACAGTTATATTTTTCAAGTTCACAAGACCTTGCGGAATGTCCCCAGAAAGAGAATTTGAAGACAGCTTTAGAACTTCAAGGGAGTGCAACCACACAAAGCTAGCAGGAATTTCACCTGTGAGGTTGTTGTTATCCAGGGACAGATACTTAAGATACTTCAAATGACTGATACCTGCAGGAATTTGACCCTGCAGCTGGTTCCAGCTCAAGTCAAGAAAGACAAGAGATTCCAAATCCCCAATATCTGAAGGTATTGACCTGGATAAAAGATTGCCAGAGGCATCCAGGAATCTAAGAGATCTGCACATCGCACCAATCTGAAAAGGAATTTGACCTGACAACTTATTGTCGCTAACATCAATAATCATTCCATCTAATCCATCACACTTTTGTAGTAAGGTTTCAGGAAATGATCCCGTGAGCTTGTTCCCACCAGCAAGAAATGCATAAACAGTCTGCTTCCCCAGTCTCTCAGTTGCAAGAGGGAGGTGTTGGATTGGACCGGTGAAGTTGTTACCACTAAAATCATGAACCACAGTGAAACTACCACTTGAAAGAGGCAAATGGCTATCAAGCTGAGTTTGGCAAGTAAAGAGCACTTGATATGGAAATGATGGATTGTTGACTCGGACAAGATCTGAATTTGGGGGCACCTGGGGGCACAATCTGTACAGAAACTTGGGGACAGGTCCAGACATGAAGTTCCCACTGACATTGAAAACAGTCATACATGGAACCGGAAGCTTCTCATCGATCTTCCCACTCAGCATATTTGATCCCAAATTTAGATAATGCAGCTTCTTGCATCTTTCAAATACTCCAGTGACTTCTCCGCTGAAAAGGTTCTGAGCTAAGTTCAACATTTCCAAGTTCTCACAACCACCCCAATTGCTTGGAAGCTTTCCTTCAAGGGTTGCCCTTGGAGCCCAAACTATTTTCAAATTTGGAAGGGTTGTAATTTCCTCTGGAATGGAGCCTTCGTAATAATTGTAATCATCCACCAAACCACCAGATAAATCAATTGATGTATCTCCATTCGTATTCGGATTGGTTGTCAATGGATTAAAAAGATTTGATAGGACAAGAACAGATAAATTGATACATTGTCCAAGCTCAGCAGGGACTGGGCCACTAAGGCTATTTCTTGAAACATCTAGAACTTCAAGCATTCGAATCCAACCAAGTTCTAGAGGAATGCCACCATTCAATATATTTGAAAACAACAAAAGAGTCCGTAACCACCGACAATTCCCCAAACTACCAGGAATCTTCCCAACAAGGAAATTTCCCGACAGATCAAGATATTCAAGATTTCGACAATAGCTTCCAAATGTGGCTGGTATAGACCCATTTAACCTATTTTGAGCCAAATAAAGCCCCTGCAACTTTGCAAACCTACCAACAAACCCAGGGATGGTTCCACTCACTTCATTACCTACCAAATTCAGCACCTCCAAACCCACACATTTCGAAAGCGAAAAAGGAATCTCCCCACCAATTCTATTAAACCCAAGATTCAATACCCTCAACGTCCTCAAACCCGAAAACCGGGTTGGCAAATTTCCGTTTAACAAATTCCCCTCAAGATCAAGCACTTCAAGCTTCTCCAACCCCCAAATTTCCTTCGGAATTTCGCCACTAAGTTCATTGAAAGGCAGCGATAAAACTCTAAGCTCACTGAGCTTTCCCACCCAAGGCGAAACCTTTCCACCCAATTTTCCACTAACCAAAATTTTCCTCCAAACACCGAACCCATCGTACGGGAATTGAAATTTCACACTCTGAGAGCAAGACAGAGCTCGAAAATTACCTCCTTTGGCACCGCTGCCGGCGAGACTGAGCGAAATGACCCTCGATTTGGTGTCGCATGAGACCCCGATCCACGAACAGTGGTGATCGAAGCTGTTGGACCTCCAGCCGAAGAGAACCCCATCCGGGTCGGAAACCGAGCTCTTGATCTCGAGCAAAATCGACTTCTCAGAAAACAGCGCCTCCCCAGAAACGCTACTCCATAAGCAGAAGACGTTGAGAAAAAGCGCGGTTTTGAAATGCAGATGGCATTTCATCTTCTCGGGAACAAAGGGTAAGACCGCGGTTGGCTTTTGGCTTTTGCCTTCTCCTTGTTTCTTCGTCTTCTGTAATCTGCTTCTTCCTGCTTCTTGGAGAGAACGAAGACCCGGGGGCTTTGGTGTTTCTGTAAATTATTTAAATTTATTGGGCTTCTTTTGCTTGGAAAATTCAACGACCAATGGGGAGAGAGCGTGGGTGGGGCCCGAGAGGACTTTAAGGATGTGGGGACCCCTGCATGTCTGTCCAGGTGGCGGTGTCTATCTGCCACCCAGTCTTCTGGAAGTGCTTTGACATAGGCGCTCAATTTTGAATTTTGAATTAAACATTTATGCTTTTTTTAACTTTTGTTCCGACATTCTTTATTTTAATTTTTAATAATAAAAATTACAATTTTTTTTCAGTATATTTGATTTACCATAAATTAATATCATCAAAATCTTAAAATGTAGAAAATATATCATATCATGATTCGGTACGATATGTAATTCTTGTTTTGTTACGTACCAAGTTATTGTTACCATGTATTCATCAGTTTTCCTCAAAAAATATTATTAGATAAATAATGTAATCATTGTGTATAATGAATTATAATTCATTTTTAGAAATCACTTAAGCATCACATCTCAATAATTTAGAATTTATAAAAAATAAAAAAATAAAACTCCGTCTCCATTTTGTATGTGAAATGCTCTACCGCTTCACAGCTCAACGTCAACTTTTAAAGTGGGACTTTCGATGGACACTCTGTCATCTCACAGTTTAATGTCAATTCTCGTATCAACATTATTAAACATTGTATCAAAAGCATGAGGTGACGGAGAGCTCATCGAAAGTCTCGTTTTTTCGGTAGTCCCTTAGCATTTCTTATTTTGTATTTCTGGCTCTGGTAGCACACAGCCACTGCCTTGGGGTCTCAATGTGATGTGGTTGTTGGCACATGCCACTTCCCATCCTCTGCTTCCTGTTGAGTATTTATCAACAACGCATTATTTAACTAAACCAAAAGGTTATGACTAAACTGAACAACCGGATGAACGAAAAAAATGAGATTATCGGCTGATTATCGCACCTGAATTACAATCGAGTAAGGTGGTGGCATGTGAAGCTTAAGTCCCCGCCTTGAGACGGACAATCGGACCTGCAACGTACGAACAAATGTAACTGCACAGGTCTTTTTCGAATTTCTTGTTACCAGCATTGCCATGCTAATGTAAGAAAGAAATCCGATGGCAGCTAAGATCCCATTTCAAATTTCTTCCCCTTGCCTTCTTTGAGAAATTTGGGGGTAGTTTTGAAAACAGATCCAAGCGAAAATCCTTCAAGCTCTTTGCTTATGGACACCAAACGTCTACATGCAAAAGATTATTGCAAGTCACGAAAACAATCCTTCAAGCTCTTTGCTTATGGACACCAAACGTCTACATGCAAAAGATTATTGCAAGTCACGAAAACAATAGTCAGCAGACGCGTGATACCTGATGTTTTTCCTTCCATCTTGGGAAAAAACTAGTCCCTAGAAGTTGGAACAAGTGGTCTCTCATCTCATCGTTTGTCACCAGCAAACACTTGCAATTAACAGCAGCGTACAACCAGTACCTACAAATCGCATAGGAATATATTTTAGGCACAAGTAAACTCTGGTAATAATTAGACACAAGTTTGATTTTTCGATGATTTAAGTCATGGAAACAAATTGCAGTATATATTGACTACAACTATTCATGTCTAACGGCTCAGTCCAACCCTTTGATCGGTCAAGAGACGCAAACTTACCAATCATCATTTGAACCCACTGGAGTAGCGTAAAGTGCACAGGACTTTTTCCAACTCTCTAACAATCTCTTGTTATTAGGATTCTGAGCAGGGCCGCCAGTTACACGATTTTGGTGCAATATAACAAGTGGCAATCTCTTTGATGGGCTCATTTGGCGTAACCAGTTCACCAGAGTATTGAGCTACAACAAAGATGGTCATTAAGCAGCCGATTCATATATCTGATACGAAGAAGTCAAAAGACAGAGTGTCACGAAACCAATCATAGTCTGCCACTCACCTGGAAAAAGCTGAAATTATGTTGATTGATAAGACCAACATTGGCACCATCTACAACAGCATCGAATGGACCATGCCCTTGAAGCCACTCCTGGATGAGTTTAACTTCTAATCAATCAGGACAGCTGACAAACATATTATGTATCATTTGCCTGAGTCACACAAAATAAAAGTATAGACGAATGACTAACTACCAGCATCACGATTACATCAATAAAACACAAGAAACCCTTCCTTCAGTTAACTTCTTATCACACGAGGGCTTGGTGGTTCCAAGAATTTGAACTCAGAAGAATGGGAAGACACTGCCACTAGTACTCTTTTTAGAAACTGTGCTTCCCGATAGAGTTATGAACCTATTTTCTTAATAAAAACAGGTTAAATGGAGATATCATATTGCCTTACAATGTTCTTATGGCGGTCTTACTTTCTAAGTGGGATTCAAGCACTAATCATCAGAAAGTTGATTATTCGGTGAAGTACAGATATAGTGGCAACACAATGTATATAACTTAATGCATAACTCCGCCCTCCGAAATGAGATATTCTCATCAATGTAATGATATAAATATAAAGATGCATATCAAGCAAGTTAAATCGTTTGAGGAAATCCGAAAAGTCAATGCGATCATTCGGTTTTCAAATTTTTGAGTTATGATATGCCAAACTTTAAATATCAGAAACTGAAGTTAACAAACAAGGGAATGGAGAGTCACTCACCTGGAATCGAACAAAATCACCCCGAACCTCCCTTTGGCTAGCCAACTCAAAGAGGTAGTAAAATTCTCAGTCTCTTTCGGATCAATGTCGATAGAGACGAGCTTTTCACCGCAACAAGAGCATATCCCTGCTTCATCCATCTGAGTCCTCTCCACCCTCCAATTCCCACTCCCAAGCCACCCTTGCCCATGCCACCCTCCACCTCCTCTCACAACTCCTTACCGCACCTTATTCGCATCCCAACTATCCACCCCAACTCTCGCCGCCTCCTCGGACTTAAACCACTCCTCCACCACCCTATAAGTTGACTCCGAGACCTGCCTCACCATGGTCCGCAACCGGTGCAACATCTCATAAACCTTGTCACTTCTGCTCGAATCAGTACTAGCTTTTATCCAGGCGGAAATCTCAGGCTCCTCCGCCGTGACCCCGGATTCAACCATGTGGGCATCGACCTCATAAGCTCTATCAGCCTCTCCCTTCTTACAGAACTCAAACAATGCCGGATCGTAAGACCTCAATTTCGGCGGAATCCCTAAACCCTTCATCTGCTTCTCCAAATGAAACGCCATTTCCGGGTCCTCCGCCGCGATCGCCAGCCTCGCCGCGCTGGTGAAAGTGGCCTCATTGGGGACAACCTTATCCTCAACCATCTGGCGAAAAATCTCAAACCCCCTCTTCAAACCCACATCACCATCATCGCCGCCGCCATTGGAGGAGCAAAGGTAGAGCAGAACATTGTAATGGTGCAGGCCAAGCGGCACCCCATTGCTCCTGGCCTCGTCGTAAAGGCTCAGAGCTTGGATCAGCTGGCCGTGCCTGGAATACATGTCTAGCTTGTGCTTCAGGACCCCCTCGGGCGACTCCCGCCGCGCTTTCCTTTTGGCTTTGTTGGAAACCGCCGGATACGACGGCGACGGCGAGTCGTTGGAGAGAGCCAGAGTGCAAAGGTTGAGTCTTTTGTCCATGGAGAAGGTGCCGGCAGAAATTGGGGTCGGTTTAGATTTAGGGAAGCTGAGAATTGGGCGGAAGAAACAGCGGGACGTTCGGGAGATTAGGGGGAGTGGGATTTTGATGAAGAAGGAGAAGAGCGGCGAGGTTCTCAGCAGAGCGCCGCCGTGCAACATTTTTTTTTTTTTTTGGTGAATTGTAAATTGTAATAAAAAGGAAAAATTGGGTTATGGAGAATAAGTCGGAGAATTTCGTGTGGTATTCATGTCAGCTCAGACATGAACTGAATTCTGCAGAGGTTTTGGAAATCTCTGCACCTAAAACCCTAGCTGCCAATACTTGAGCGGGGAAACGACACGTCGTATATGTTTCTCTTCTTTTGATCTTAAATTCGATTTATTTGTTTATTTCGCATAGAACGTCAATTTCTTCTCTAAATTTTACTTTTAGCCAATACATCCCACCACCTCCCTTAATCCTTCGCTACTTCCCTTTCTTTTTCATATAATTTCTATATATCTCTGGCATATGCAATAAAAAACAAAAACAAAATAGTTATCCGACAGAAGCTTTGCTTTGTTTTGGTAAAAGGAGGAAGAATCGTACAACCCAAGGAAGTTGACTTTTATCAATGCCTTTGGCTGTATCTGGATGTCCAGTTTCAATGAGATAACAAAGCAGCTAACTTATACACGTATAAATCCAGTTCTATCTTTCTTTTTCTCAATGTGTTCAACTAAGCCTTCTCTACCTGTTAATTTGCTCTTCAAACAAGACGATCCACAGCCAAGAAATAGCTTCCGACCATGACAAACGATGCGATCCCGCTGCGAGCCATCCGTAACCCAAGGCCACGGAACAGGAGATTCCTGTCTGAAGGGTGGATCCCTGTAACTCTCTCAAACCTATTCCCTGGTCTTCCCCATTTCAGAAGCTTCCTCTCCATTGAGACATACTGCCCACCACAAAACACAAATGATATTCGCAATCAAAGCAAGCCTTATAACAGATAACACGCATTGATCAACATGCTAGCAAGTGTTGCCTAAGTATAAATCACGATACGTGCATCAAAGGTGTATCATGCTCAAACTAGACTAAACTTTGCCATGAGTAAGTAACATACCTTGGGCAGCACAGTACATTCTGATCGAGATTTGGCAGTGTCAAAACAATGAGAAGCAGCTGCAGCAACAGAACCAGAAATTCCGGCCGCAATACTAATAGCCAAAGGAGAAAGTGGACCGATTTCATCATCCGACCTATGAGAAAACAAGTTCACTTCAACAACATGGAAAAAGGGAAACATAAAACAATGCATCTTTGTTCAACAGGTGCTCCTTTTAGCAGTGAAAAAAAATGGTACACGATGGTGTGATTCAACTAAGATACAGGTTAGTCAATAGCAAGTTGCATTAATACCTGGGTTCAGGATCCATCCCCACTGCCTTCCAGTCAAGCATTGCTCGGTGTAGAGATTGCCAAGTAGAAAAGAATATGCCACCAAAAACTGAATCCCGAACAACTCCTGGCCGTAGACCTCTCCATAATGCACCCCATCCTTCCAAATAGATGATTTCAGATGGTTTCCTGACATTGAACACTGATGGTGGCTTCCCAGATCCTGTCATCATCCATGGGTACTCTTGTAAAGCACTCATCATATTGGGATGCTTGGTTGTTAGGGTGGATAAAAGGGCAACAGAAGAATTTAATGCCTTCATGTCCGGACTACACCCACGTAGCAATCTTTGAATCAAAGGTGCAACAGCTTCCTTTCCTGGGAGAGAGGCTGAGTTTGGAATGCGAGAAGCAGAGGTCACCTGGGCACGAAGTTTTATAAGTTCAAAGGGGGAGCTTATCAGTGATTCTACAACACCAGAAACAAGTCCCGCCAGGAGGGCCTCAGAGACGTAGACGTAGTTATCTTCTCGACCATCTGCCAAAAAAGTATTTGCAACCACAAAAGGCGTCGGAAGCTATAAATCAATGTATAATAACGATGAATTTTGGTACCATGTGTATGCACGTGTTCATTATCAGTTACCCAAAAATGAAGAGAAAATACCTTTATAGAAGGCAGTCAAAATTTCATAGGTTCCAAAACGAGCTCCCAACCCCAAAGTTCTTCCCGCTGCTAACCATAGAAAACCATTGTACAAACCTACAACATGCATCACAGGCCAAACTTAACAATCATCAGCAAGCACAACACTGGGGAGGAGAGGAACCCTGTAAGCACAAACAGAAAGCAGTGGAGAAAACAACAGGACTTGAAAAAACTAATGAAAATCGGGGAAGCACCTGAATTTCCTGAAAAATATCCAACTCTCTTTAAAACCTGAGTAGTTGTCAATTGCTTACTAGAACCTGAACCAACCTGTTCTCTCAATAAAAACAAATGAGGATTCAGGTTAGAAGCAGATTATGACATGGCTCTTCACAAAGCAAAAAACTTGTAAAGCATCAGAAATCTAGGCAATGATGCCAGGGAGCAAACCTGAATAAGGGTTTTGATTGTATCTAGAGGGTAAGTAAGAGCTGTGCCTAATGCCACTGAACCTACACCAGAAAGTGCATGGATTGCAAATATCTGGTTCTTTAACAACTCCTCCATCTAAACATTCAGCAAACCAAACACCAAAAAAAAGTAACATTTACAATCAGAAATTGAGAAATTGATTTATACGCCATTCAATTTTTACTAAACAAAGATTTCGCAGTAACGCTTTTCCGCACATGTACTCGACAATTTTCAGATACAAATTCATGGGATTATGATGTTATCAACCAATTAGTGAACGTAAAGGCACAAAATTTTCAAACGAGATTCTACTTTATCAAATACATAAGCAAACAATAAGAGCCGACAGGAGATACGCAAACATTGGTCCTTTTCCGGCATTTCAACAAACACCTTGTCTGCAATACATATCGGCCCCAAGCCAAGAAGGCTCTCTGTCGGGGGAACATCTATGCAGCCTTACCTTTGCTTTGCAAAGAGGCTATTTCCACGACTCGAACCCGTCGCAAAGGAGCAACCTTTCCGCTGCGCCAAGCTCGCCCTCTCTGCAATATATATACACTACAAATATGAAAACCCGATAAACAGAAAGGAAAATGACGTAAGCATATAAAAGAAATGCTTAAAACGAGCGTTTAGCAATTAGCATTTGATGTTTGAAATCTCATCGGAGAATACGTTACCGGCACCGGCGTTGTTCAAGTCACCTTCTTTTTCGTTCGCCTTCTTCAAATTGTCCGATGGATTCCAGCTCTCAACAATTTTATACGAAGACGGAAATGCAAGATTTTCGAAAGAAATTCAACTGCGATCGCAAAACGTTTTATCGTATTTTTATTTCTGAGAATCAGAAAGTAGGATCAAAACTCTGGAGCTAAGGAGCAGTGAGCAGCTCACCAGCAATGGAGAAGCTGAGGAGGGAATGGATGAATGATTGGTATTTGGGCCTGAGACCTTTCAGCCCAATCCATATTTTTTTATACAATAATATTCTAAACTACTCTAATCCCATCTAAGAGATAAGAATTTGAACTTAGGTGCAAGTGAATAGTTGATGACAATTGATTTTTACAGAGTAATTTATAATATCAGCCGCTTTGATTATAAGTATAAAATTTTGTAAATCAGGTTATGCCAGCTAGGCATATTTCGGCATTTCCTAAAATGTTACGTCGAGAGCACTCAACAAATTCTCTCGATATCACTTATCAGATTGCTTTGGCATGCGTTGATATCTGTTTAAATGTGTGCAACTTCGGTTGACAATAAGCCCACCAAGTGTTTAACGAAATGCCTCAACAAATAAACTGAAATTTATTTTGCCTGCTTCGCACTCTCTTTTTCTATTAAAAAAATATAGACTTTTAACACTAGGATCCCCCAACGTTCTAATCCTGAATCCCCTATTGAAAGTGGGCAGCCGAGTATTGTTATTTCCACCGTCTTATTGCGAGTGTGAACTGAGAGAATGACGAGTGTGAACTGAGAGAATGATGTTAGAGTTTTTTCTATCAAAGTTTATACAAAGCATGCCTTTGAACGCGTATCGTTACAAATTTCGGGTGGTATTAGGTATGGTAATTTTTTGCACGAGTTGTTGACTTGACAAGGACATAACAAGTTTCGAGTTAACCTGTCAAAAAGTTGGTTTGTTACCAGAGCACTTGTTAAGAATTCATTAACTAATTGGATCGTTATTAGATCACCCATTAAGAACTTAATAAGATATCGTTTGCCAGTATATACATTAGACATGACGAATTTCTTGCATGACTAACCTGACACGAAACGACACAACCCGTTAATGAATCGGAATGTTACGGATCACTTGTTAAGAACTTGTTAGAAAAATGGTTTGACACGATACGATCCCTTAAGATAATAGGCATGACACGAAAGTAATACGAACACGACAGGACCCATTTGCCAAATTTAGGTGGTATTCAGAAAAGGGAGCGCACAATTTTCCCTGTTGTATGCTAATGCATGCATTATAAAATGCATTTAACCTACTGTATACTACAGTTACACGGTACGCCGGTGAGAAAAATTTGAACCTGAAACTAGTAACATTAGAAGTTCTTGCAACTAGGTTATCTGACGTAGAAAACGCCCCTAACTATCGATCAGCGACTGAATTCGCTAACAATCTCGTGTAAACTATACATTCTTTTCTCAGTACATGTATATGAAGGGAAGGTTAGGAAATCATTATATGGACAAGGAGGAGGCTTACATAATCCATAGCGCTTACATTTCTCAACAACAGCAACAACAAGAAAAACATCGACATCGACGCCGGCGACAAGAACAACCCCACTTGCACCAAGAAAAGCAACAAAGCCAATAGGAGGCTTTTGATTTGGTCACTTTTTTAGGCGGTAAGAGGACTGGTGGTGGCGGCCGCTGCGGCTCCGGCTCCAGGCACTGCTCTTCGGCAAATTGTGTAACCTTCACGGAACTTTTCATCCTATCTGTCATCCCATCTGACAATCTGCATAACATAATGTACATAACATTCACAGACCATGAATTTCAGGAGAAACGGAAAGATTACAGTGCAGTCATGATGCTGAGTAAAGGAAAATATTTTGTTGAAGAAAAGTTATGTTTTCACTTAAAGCCCGACGAATGGCCCCCATAGTTAAAATGACATGCATACATGGTTGAAGAAACACAACACACTCTCTTTTGGAAACGGTTCCAAGAATAGCAGAACGCCCAGCTGCAGTTCGAACAATAGCAGCTTGGCCATGTAACATAGCAGAACGCCCGGCTACAGTTAGAACAGCAGCGCAATGGCCACGCACGCTTCTTTGTTCTGCAATAAACAAAGGGTGCATTCTTCATGGACTAAGTTCAGGGTTTTGAATCTTAGCCAATAAATTATGTAGGCATGCATATGCCTGAATTTTGTGTGTGCACGGTCATGTATAATACTAGAAATTGTTGCGCGAACGCCAAATCTGCAGTATATATATGAAACTGCATGTATGCTCATCCTAAAATAACAATGCATTACATCCATGAGAAAAGTAGGGTACAACCATGCATAATTCACCTTAGAAAATGTATATAGACGTACATTGGGAAGGCAAAAGAGCGTGTGCTAGTTCCACTCGCATCAGAACGGCGAGAGAGGGTAGGGGATTTTACGGGTCCAGTTGGTGCAGGCACCCTTCCCTCGCTATGATCTTCAGCATTTGCTCTTGCAGTGTTCTTAATGGTCTCATCTGCCACTCCAACTCCAGATTCCCTCACTTCTTCAATCCTCACTTCTTCAATCTTCACTTCTTCAATCCTTACTTCTTCAATCCTATCGCTTTCAATTTCTACCACTGGAACATGAGGGGCCGGATTGAGTGCAAACAACTCGCCTGATTTGTTCAGTTCCCCAGACTTAACCAAATCACCGAGCAAAAGTATGTGGTCTCTTGAAAAGCTATTGTTTCCTAAATGAATGCTAAAAAGCGACTCATTTGATGCAACACTCCATTCCAATTCTTTGTTGGATTTACTTCTTGAAAACACAGAAGACGGGATCCTGTAAGGATCATATCCTCCTCCACACCGATCCATCATTTGGATTGAAGGGGATTCTGTTGGTGACAAACCGGGCACCATGGACCCATGGGTGACATCAGAAGCTCGGGACGTTGATGCAGGACCTACAGAGCTAGAGTCATGATGTTGAGGGAGAGAAGAAGCATGTGTTGAAGTGGTAGTTCTGTTTGTATCCACTTGGAAGAGATCTTCCAATGACGAGTCTGATGCCAAAGATGACAAAGAGGATATGGAGACTAGCTTTCTGGTCGGGACACGACCACCTTCATTAGCAGTGGCCTCTGGACGTCTTGTTAAATGGCTACTGTCATCACTCCCATCACGAACCTTTGGTCTTTCCGAACGCTTACTGCCTCCACTTCCATCAACAACTCTTTCCGAACGCTTACTATTTCTGCTGCTTCCGGGTTCCAAGTCCATAACTGAAACATGCACGAAACAAATTTCGTAACAGAAATACTTGATAAAGTTTGCCATCAAATGCCAATATTATTTCAATAAAACCTAGCTATGATTTTCAATTTAGGAAATGTTTCGCGAAACAGACCTATCTAAATAATAGGTCATTATCAATTTTATAACTTTTAAGACCATAAAATATATACATTTTATGAGTTCATCATGTCAACAATTACCAGTTTACCTGCATTGCTTATCATCTGCAGACATTTTCATCATTTCATATGGCAACAAAAATTAAATAAAAAAACTGAGAAAAAAAATGTCCATCCCCAAAAAAATTATTATAAAATTTAATTTTAAAATAAAAGATATGAATTCGGGAGCTAAATTCAAATTGATTAAAAATGAAGAAAATAATTAAGCTCACCTGAATCATAAGAAATAAGCCCTTAAATTTCCGAATTTCCAAATGATCCTCCCAGGGATCAGCATTCCTGTGTCTCCTCCTCACCTCGGTATTATATATATTTTTGGTAGAATAAACCTAACCTCGCCTCAATTGAATGACTAAATTCCCAAGAAATATAAATTAAAACTTTTAGAAAAAAAAATAAAAAATAAAAACAAATTGAATATGTGAGAGAGGAGAAGCACTTTGATTGCCAAACCCTAATTTTGAAAAAAAAAATTAAACAAACTTGGAGCTGAAAGTTGTCGCCCTTGAATATCTGAATTTGTGGTTTTGGAATTAGGGTTTGTGAGTGGGAAAATCTGGTGATGGAAGGCGTAGCGAAACTTTCGGCGTTTCTTTGGGTTCTATCTGTATCTGGAAGCCTTTCGCGCCATCTTTAACTTTCCCTTACCTTCTTTGGATAGATTTTTCAGTATGACCGTCACGAAGTGGTATACCATATATTTTTATATAAATTGTGGGTTATATGTGTTAAAAGGTTAATAACTTAAAAATTAAAATTTTATACCATCCGTATTCCCGTCACAACTAAAAATTTCTCCCTTATTTGGGTGTTGAAGGCCTATCTTATGGTAGGCTTTAATTCCGGTCGCCGTGCTCATCCAATATGGAGAGGCCACGTAAAACAAGGACGTTGTGACAATTTGTTTAGATTAGGATCAATATGTTTCAATCTGATTTATTTTGTACATTTCGCTCAATTATAAAATGGGTCAAATTCTACAAAATCGAACCTATAAGACTTAACATGACATATAGTTTGATAATGGAAGTAATAAAAGGGTTGATTTAGCGGCGTTAGCGGCAACATATCGATTTTAACATGACAAATTTGTTTAGATTAGGATCAATATGATTCAATCTGATTTATTTTGTACATTTCGCTCAATGATAAAATGGGTCAAATTCTACAAAATCGAACCTATAAGACTTAACATGACATATAGTTTGATAATGGAAGTAATAAAAGGGTTGATTTAGCGGCGTTAGCGGCAACATATCGATTTTAACACGACAAATTTGTTTAAGTAAATTTAGTCAAGTGTGTGTTGGAAGTGGTTGGTGTGCATCATGTGTGTGTTTGAAATTAGAGTGTTATGTGCGAGTTGAAAGAAAGTTTTAATATTTAGTTTATTGGTTTATATACTCAGTTCATTTGTTATAGTATTATGGTCTAGTGGTATTCTTCTCTATTTGTAAGTGAAATGTTTTAGTTCGATTCTTATCAAAAGCAAATTTGAACCACATTATTGTTAGCCCATTGTGAGGCTTAGCCTACTTCTCCACAATACCGTTTGTTCAATATATATATATAGGGATAGAATCGAGGGACAAATATTTTTACAAATACTTTTACACTCTTTTTAAACATTTTGATTACATAACATTCAATGATTATTATTTATTCATTAAATGACATAGATGCTTATATGGATTTTAACTAATATTAAAGATAAAATAAAACTGAATAAAACAAAAAATCTGGAAAATTAAAAAAAAAAAAGATAATTTAACTGAAATCGGGATCATGATCGCGAGGAGGCTACTCGAGTGGTTCAATCCAAGAGCAACAAGATTCAAAGGCTATCAGAGAATATTAATGAATCTTATGTGGCTCCCATGTCTTCTGAGGTTAGTATTGATCACTACAATCAGCAGCAGCAGCAGACTAATATTAATGCAACTAGTACTAGTAGTAGTATTGCTGTGACTAATGTGGATCAGCCACAATACTATCATGAGCCAGCACAGTACTATGAGGTTATTAATAGATATGATGTTCCACTGCAGCAGGAGTAGACAACTACTACTATCGATCATGTGAACGTTACAAACTTGCCGACTGGGCTCACTGAGCAGCAACGATACCTTGTTACACAAGACTGAACTGTGGCTTCTTCATCACTAGCTATGCCAGACAATCAACAGCAGCAAATGCACTTGCCACAATACTACCATGATACACAAGAACCAATGACACCAATGACAGCTATGGCGAGGCCATATGATTTAATTGCAGAAGCAGCATGTATTTCCCAACCAAATTCTAATGCAGACCCAACTATGGCATCTTTCACTAGGCATGGCTAGACAAGAATACTACGTTTAGCACGATGGTTTTGTGAACAATGCTTCGATGGACATGCGATAATATTACTACTCCAGTACACAAGACCCAAGTAGTGGTACAGATTCCTCTCAATATGATTCGCCGCAGACTAGTACAATTGGTTTCGCTGATCAGGCACACTACTTTGTTACACAAGATCACCAGCTAGACTACTTTGTCACCGATCCCACCGCGGCTTCTTCACCAGCTAGTCCATCCAATCTTGATCAAAATCATCAAATCAATGATAAGGATCAAAATCCACTTCTTAACTTTGACTACACCCAATTTTATGATTGTGATGGTGATGACATCAAGCTTCCTCGTCAGCAAAGATGAAGTTTCATGACTTTTTTTTATTAGGGTTCAAAGTTTGAATCCAAGTCTTGATCGAAATGGGAATAGGGGAACCAATTTCATTTAAATTATCTTTCATTTTTAATTATATATTTACTTATCCATATTTTATGTTTTTTTTTTCAGTTTTACTTTTTCTTTAATATTAGTTAAAATTCACATAAACATCCGTGTCATTTAATAAATAAATAAGAATCGTTAGATGTCATGTAATCAAATGGCTTAAAAAGAGTGTAAAAATATTTGTAAAAATATTTGTTTCTTGATTCTATCCCATATATATATCTATATATAATATAATATAATATAATTTTCTTTTTCCATGTTAAGGAAGTTTCAAGATTTCCTTAAGAGGTACCCATGCCTTCCCCTCCAACCCAGCAGATAGGCTGGCATCCAGCCCAAGCCAGGCAAGAGACCGGCTCAAAATCGACAGACCTACATGTCGAGCCATCAACCGTGACAACCTCCTATTCTGAGCTGCAGCATAACAGAACAACGATATAAACAAACCCAGAAAGCAACCCGGCAAACCAAGAAAAACCCATATCACAATTTGCAATACCGAGCTCAAGAGATTAATTTTCTGAAATTTTGGATAGAAAAATACCACCTTCCAATGGAACCCATGAGGAAGAACTGGTTACTTTGATTTTTGTGAGATCTATTGGCTGTTTGATTGATTTTCCGAGAAAAACCAGTTGAGGATGGAAAAGGTGGGCCGAGGAACCTTACTGCTGCTGCGGTGTTTCATTTTTCTGTGGGAAAGACCAGAAGAGTTCCTTAAATCCGAATGGGGAGAGAAAGAGAGAGAGGGAGAGAGAGATGCAAAGGGAGGTTCCAGGAGCGGCGCAACATGGTGAGGTTTTGAGGGGGAGTGGGAGTGGTGGATAAATGGGGTTTAATAAAATTGATAATATTGTAATAAATCAAATTATTATTTTATAATAAAAATTAATAAAATTGACTAGACTATTTAGTTTTAGAGGTAAAGATGTTTTGGCATATTACTGTTCATTGGAATCTATTACTGTTCACTTGAGTGAATAAATACGCTGGGTACTGACGTAAAGTCTTTAAGGGTGAAATTGCTCTAAGAGTTAGTAGAAGAACTTTGAGTTTGAAACGAGAAGATGAAGCTTTATGCAAAGCTTGGGTTTTTTACTATTCGAGAAGGTGTTACTGGCAACGACCAATCGGTGAAAATGTTTTAGAGTTGTGCGTGCAGGTAATAATAGTATTTTCTTGTTAAAAAGTTGTCATTTAATGAAATATAATTATATATCTTTTATATATTTTGTCGGTAAGTTTTTTACATCGGCACTTGAAACTTTTCATTCTTAAATTACCGTAACAACTTCAAATCATTTTCTTCTTTTTTTCTTTTTTTTTTATCAAAGGAAAGAATTTTATTTGATTCGAATTGAAATGTTCACATTAGAAGCTAAAGCATTAAACAATCACTATGACTCGAAATAGTCTCATCCATAAGAGTCTCCCGGTCACTAGATGTATTTCTGTATTACAAATATAAGGAGCAAAAATGACATCCACTAATCTTAGCCGCTGCTTCACATATTGAATATCAAGAAAGAGTGCTTCAATTGTAACATTTGATTGAGCCTTGCCGTTAATCACATCCACAAGTATTTTAGAATGTGATTCAATCTAAACAGAATCAATTCCCATATGAATACAAGTCAACAAAACCACCCACATCGATTCCACCTTTGCCATTAGACTAGATTCGCATGGAAAATTCCCCACTCCACCCTGCCCCCTGAAAAATACATGCGAAATTCCATACCACCCATCCACACCCCTCCTCATCTGGATTCCTTTTTTTTTCCCTTAATAATAGTATTTTTTTGTTAAAAAAAGTTGTCTTCTAATGAAATAAAATTATATACTTTTTATATATTTTGTCGGTAATTTTTTACATAGGCAAAAAGTTATTGTTCACTCTAATTTTTCAAACTGCTGTTAAAATGAATTTGATGAGAGTTACCTAAATATATTAAGATAGTTTTTCCTACTAAGCAGGGTAGATAATATTATTTATTAAAAAAAAAAAAATATATATATATATATATCAAGATCATTTTATAAAAATTTAAAACCAAAATTAAGCAGACGTGTACAGTGTTGATCTGATTAGCAAACAACCATTAAAATTCTCCAATTATTACTATATAGATTAAAAGAAAAAACAGAAAAAAAAAAGTAAACGGGGGCGGGTACGGAAGTTGGATGCTATCTCGGCTTTCCCGGAGTACTGTCATCGGCCTCCTCTGTTCACTGAGACCAGGAAGCACATCCTTCGCTTCTCTCAATCTTGAGCTACTGAACATTTCCAATCCCAGGTCGGAATCCCGAGCTCTTTCCTCTAGGTAATTTCCGTTAATTCTTCGATTTTCCCATCTGGGTTTTCTCAGATTCTCTGTCATTTTCTGATTTCCTTCTGTGCATTACTCTGATTGCTTAGGAAACTGTATAGTTTGAGCTAATGATGGATTGGATTGAATATTGAATTGAATTGGTTTGGTTTGGATTGGATTGGTCTGGTTGGATTGGACTGGATTGGATTTAGCTGTTTCTTGAGACTATTTGAGCTTTATTGTTTTTTGTTTTTGTAGAAACTGAATCAACTCAAGATGATTTTAAAGTTCCGTTCTTTTCTTCTTTGTATTGAGTAGATTTCATCCACTGATACTTTCCACACTCAAAGTTGCTTGCTTTTATTTGTATTTTTGATGAAATTATACAGTTGAATTTACAATTTTTCAGATTCGACTTAAGACATGTACCAAGAACATGAATGGGCATAGATATGGTGGTTGCGCTTTCATACATAGAAATCCGCTTATAAATAGGTTGCTCAGACATGAATGTGGTTGATTTGGCTTGCATTTTAGTACCGATTGATATGCACCAACGTGGAAGTTGCCTTCTTCCAGATTTTGGATTAGAACCCAAAGCAGGGTGAATAAAATCCGATGGAAAGATCGCAATCTCGAACCCCTTTACTTCCTTCTGATCTTCTAGAATCCACCTCCTCTAACAACACTGAAAGCGCTCAGTTAAATGCACATGGAGTTCGTGGGCTGTCTGGTATTCAGGGACTGAAGAAGAGAGGTCACGGAAGTCGGTCTTGGATAAAGATTGATCCGCTTGGGAATATAAGCATTTTGGAGCTTGACAAGGCTACTATAATGAGACATTGTTCGTTGCCTGGAAGAGATCTCCGACTTTTGGATCCTTTGTTCATATACCCTTCTACAATATTAGGAAGGGAGAGAGCTATTGTTGTTAGTCTTGAACAGATCAGGTGTATAATCACCGCTGATGAGGTTATCCTGATGAATTCCCTGGATGGATGTGTTGTTCAGTACAAGTCTGAATTGTGCAAACGCCTAGAGTCAAACAAAGATCAATCTGGTATGGAATTGGAAACTAATCTACCTGATATCTGATATCTTTTACTGCCTTGGGGTTTACTCCTTTTCCAATGTATGTGAGTGATAACCTTTTTATACCATTTCTAAAAACATCTTATCTGATAGCAAAATAGGTTTCCACAAAAAGTAAGCGACCACTTATTTCTCCACCCAAATTTAAGCCTTTATTTTCCTTTGTATTTTTTTTTATTGCCAAAGTAAAAATTCAATGTCGAATGCATTTCTGACGAGTCTAATTTGATTCAGATGACTTGCCTTTCGAGTTTAGAGCATTGGAGCTGGCTCTGGAACTAACCTGCATGTCTCTAGATGCTCAGGTATCAATCTATTTGCAGCACAACCTATCAACTAATTTTGGTACATGCTTCATTTATCCCCAGGAAGTTCTTTGTTCACTACGTTCTGGCGGTATAGCTCTCCCTAAATTTGGTAGAGTCCCTAGTCGTGTATTTGTTGTCATTCAGAACTCTATATGTAATTTTATTGTGAACTTGTATATCAGATGAAGTAAAAATTGACAAAAACTAGGAAAATGAAGCAGGAATCATTATCAGCACAAGCCCATTACATTAATGAAGTTCATCAATGTGATAGGTAAGGGAACTGCAAATGGAGATATACCCTGTGCTGGATGAACTAGCATCATCAATAAACACTGTTAATCTGGAGCGTGTGCGTAGACTCAAAGGTCACCTTCTTGCATTGACTCAACGAGTTCAAAAGGTAAGGTGATTCTATTGGCACCCAAAAATTTTCTCTCTGAACCTCAAGTGGAGTAGTAGCATCTTCATTTTTCTCTCATTCATTTCTACTTTAGAGAGCAAATTTTTCATAATATACATTTCTTTGCTCTTCATCTCCACAATTCAATTGCTTTTAATTCATTATAGGTCCGTGACGAAATAGAACATCTCATGGATGATGACGGTGACATGGCTGAGATGTACCTTACTGAGAAGAAACAAAGGTCAGAGGGTTATCCCTTAAGTGACCTTTGTTTTCAAACTAACACATCAGGCGAGGAAACAATTGTTTCAAAATCTGCTCCTGTTTCTCCAGTGAGGTCACTCAGTGGAGCACATAAATTGCAAAGGGCTTTTACAAGTTTTGTGAGTTCAAGCAGGAATGGAAGCTTATTGAGTTCATCTAATTTTGGAGAAAACATTGATAAACTGGAAATGCTGCTTGAAGCGTACTTTGTTGCCATCGACCATACTCTCAGCAAGTTGTCATCGGTAGGAGATGTTTTATGCTCAGTGAATATATATATATTTATTGATGATGCAGCTTGAAAGAAGGCATTGGTGATACGAAGATTTGATTAAATATTAAACTGGCAATAAGTGATTGACACAAGCTTATATCTTGTTTTGGTGATGCAGCTGAAAGAATACATAGATGATACCGAAGACTTGATTAACTTTAAACTGGTAAGGAGTGATTAACTGCTTCCACTTTCTTAATTACTACAATACATGCACAAGTGAATTCTAATATTGCGCTTTATATGGGACAGGGCAATGTTCAGAACCATCTGATACAGTTTGAGTTGCTCCTTACAGCGGCTACCTTCTTGGCTACTGTTTTTGCCGCTGTTACAGCAGTATTTGGAATGAATTTACCCTCCACTGTTTTCGATAATCCATCTACATTCAATTGGGTTTTGGTTTTCAGTGGTGTTGCCTGTGGGTTCCTGTACTTCTCTTTTCTGATTTATTTTAGGTATAAAAGGATCTTTCCCTTGTAAAGTATGAAATTGACGATTCACATTCTAATGGTGAAACTGAATGTTGTTTATCAGGGAGAAGAAAAATCCAATTGATTTTACATGTATTGATTCTACTGAACATGTTATATTCACGTTCTAATGCCTCAAGCACCATGATTCGTGCTTCGAGCCTCGACTCAGTCACTTTATACAGACGCAAACTCAGCTCCTGAGGCGACACACCTTTGTTAATTTCCTCCTGAGCGTTCATTTCCAAAAGCTCTAGTTCGGCAAGGAGCTCTGCCTCAATTTTTCTCATTGTTTCAGCATCATCCTCCGTTTGATCATCGAGCCTTTTCGCAACACAATTGTTCGATTTCTCCAGTTCTTGTACATTGAAGGAGGTGATGATCTGCTTCTCAGTATGTATTACTCCAACAAAGAAGAGAAGCATTCCATTTCTTGAACCTGGAAAAGCAAGAAAAATTAAGCCAAATATGTATGCAGAATAAACAAAAAACTACATGTGGATAGAACGGAATTGTTATTACTACTCCAAAATAGTACACGATGACTTTTTTAAAGTCTCGATAACAGATTCCTAATAAGAATAACGTAAGACCTTGTGAACCAAATGGGCCGCCGGCCACTGGTTTAGTTCAGCGGCTGCATCTCCTCTTCCTCCTCCTCCCCAGCCGCCACCGCGCCTTTTCCTCACTCTCTAACCATACGTCATTGACTTGGCTCCCACTGTTACCCAAAAATGGCCTCATTGCCAAAATACAAGGTGATGCACATGATGAGCTGTACGCATCCTCCTCCACTCTAGCATTTTCCCAGTACAACACCACCTGAGCCAATAGGCAGCTTTCTGTAGAATTAAGTGCTTTTAGAGAAAGCCCTTTTGATTTAACTCCAAGAAATCTGCCTTTATTTAGAACCCAGCTTTTTCTGCCACAACATAATCAGAAACCAACTCACCAGAAGACTCAGTCACCTCCTCACCATCATGAACTGACTGATCACTGATCACCTTCCGTTGCTCTGGAAAACCATCTGTGCCAGTAGCACTTCGCCACATAACCAGCCCCAGTGACTGTTGCTGCTGCTACAATCCATAAATCCATATAAAAGCCTATATTTCTGGCCAATTCTGATCTTCAAAACTCACATGAGAAAAGGGTTTTTGATGAATTTTCTGTCTTGATCGAAAAGAAGAAGAAAAGGGAGGAGATCCAATTTTACTCTTCCTTCAACAAGGGTTGGTGGTGTTGTCTAAGGAAACACAATGAGAGCGAATCCACAACGGTTATATTAACGGTTGGTCATGTAAGGTGTCGTTCTTCCTTGCACGCATATGAGAATTTAAAGCGGTTATAGCGAGAAATTTTTCCATACGTGTTAGATTATAATTAACAATTAAGGAAGAATAATTTCTTAACACGTGAGGAGCCGAGCAGTGTTCTAATCTGGGAGTCAAATTGGGAAGTTGGTCATCCTGCTAGATTGTACAGTGTTCTTACCTGCTTTCTAATCTCAATTTTTTTTATCCTTAAGTATTGGTATTGCACTTTGTAGTTTAGGTATTAAATATTGAAGGAAATCTAGAAACTATGAAAAAAATAAGGTAATATATAGCAGGTGCACTGAACTACCACATAAACGTACACAGCACGTTCTAATTGGATAGCAAATTAAAACAGGTTAATTAGCATGATTAGTCACTAATATACTTGATTAATTAGCATAATCTCTCACTATTTTAAAAATGTTAATGAACCGTTTAGAATATCACTATTCTGTTGCAGCTGTGGTAATGAACTATAAAAACAGATATTCTAAACAGTTATGGTAATCAAATCTAACGACTAAAACACTTATAGTCACATCCAATATAAAATACAATTAAAATTCAATTCATATGTAAGCCCTTAATAACATCACAGTTTAGTGAAGAAAAAAACCTTCAAACTTAATACAAATATGTACCACAACCTACTCCGTGTTTTTCACTTTCTTTGTGAATTAGTACAAAACCTTAGTTATTTCCAGCAGCCGTGACATTTGAAGAACGGAGTGCACTTATACTCTTGAACCTGGTCGGAGCTTGCCTTAACCAGTATGTGCCACCAATGAAGCCACTCGTCATAAGCGGCGCAGCCTCTTGGAACGTAAGTTCCCGGGCCCACTTAACTCTCTGCGACGTATCGGCTCCCGCTCCCCAACATCTGTACTGTCCGAAGTAGACAGTACTCAGTTCGTCGGGCGACCGACCCCAGTCGTCCCAACCTTGCGGCGCAACGACATTCGACATGTGCGTAAGGGCAAAGATAACCCTGGAATAGGGGCTCCATGGCCGTCCTAGGGTTGTCTTTGATAAGCCGCTTATCTTGCACCCCACGAAACTGAAGCCCAAGTTCTCTGAAGCGTTGTCCCTCCGGTGGGCGGTTATGAATCCGACCTCATCCGCAGTCGAGTGCAAGTGGCAGTTCTGGAAAAGGGCGGCTGAGCTTCCGAATATGAAGTCGACGGCTCCTTCGATGTAGCAGTTTCTGTAGTACTGCTTGCCGTTTTCGGAAAGTAGGGTATCTTGATACGACTTGATACTGCAATCGTAGAATGCTGCCCTATCTCCGGAAGCCCTAAGTGCCACCGCTCGAGCTCCTTTCCCGTACGTGTTCTGAATTGTGAGGGTTCGTCCTGTAAAATCAGAAGCCAGGACGGTGAAGGTTGGAGTGTCGTATATCTCCCCGCCCTGACTCCATGTTATTATCGTCTCGCCCGACCCCGCGCCGGCTATCGTAATAAATGGCTTATCTGCAGGCACCCAAATTTTTTCAGTGTATGTTCCAGGTTTAACTGCAATGTACACATTCTCCGCATTATTCGACGGCACGGCATCAATGGCGTCCTGTATTTTCCAGTAATCTCCTTTGCCGGACTGGTCCACGGTTATGAGAATGGCTTCGTCAGACGCATAATTATTTGTGGTTGCAACTTGAGAGGTAACGGCGGTGACAGTATAGAGTAAAAGAGCAATGAGAAAGAACTTCGTAGAAGTAACACCGTCGGCCATCGTGGCAAGAGAGAAGCACTTTGTGTCTGAATTAGGAGCTTTGTGTTGGATTGATCGACAACGATGAATAGTGATGTGAATGTTGACGATAGCTGATGTCGTTATTATATAGTGTTCGCATGCATGCAGGTGGAAGTAGGAAATTAGGTTTTCCTTGAGGAATTAGGACAACCAATTTCAGGTGGTATCTAACTTTTTCTTGATGAATTTGGATTCCAAATTCAGATGGGAACATTTAAGATCCCAAATTAGGGAGGAATATTTTAAGATTCCATTTTCATGTAGGAATAGATAAAAGAGGAATGGTTTGTGTAACTTCAAGGTGATGATTTGCTAATCAGGGGGCGGGTGGGGCGAAATTTATCCAATTAACCTGAGGACATAAGACATACTTAGAAGCTTATGGTAAGCGATAATGAACCTTTCACTCACTTATCTTCCAATTATCCTTGTTAATGCCCTGCATTTCAAGCAAAGCTACCAGATTTGATAGGTGTGCTTTCTACCTACTACTCTCCAAACGTGATTGGGGACATAAAAAAACATATAAATACAACAGATTTATTTCTACTCTCTTTATTTTATGCATTTGTCTCTCCGCCTTCATTCTCTCCTAGCTAAGGGGGAGCGGCAGTCGGACTCAGACGGCGACGGGCCCGGGGATGGTTGGATGGATGACGTGGTCATATAGTTAGATCCAGGACATACTTTCTTCAAAGGAAGAGTAAATGAACCACTGAAAGCGTAACGGATTTTAAGTTTGCATTTTTTTGGTCAAATTCCTTCGTAGGAACTAGGAAGGACGTGAGATTACATCAATTCAATATCTAGAAGATGAACAAATAAATTGCATATGTAAATAAATATTACAGGTGCCATCCATATCCCTACTGCCTTCCCCAAAAGTAACTACAGCAGGTCTTGGAGCTCTATCTGCTGATTACATATAAATAGCAAGGCCCACGAGAGCAAAAGTCCTGCAACCAAAAATTGAGGTAAAGTTCTCGCATATAACGGTTGTATACAATTCTGCCGTCGTCGCCTCTTACATGATCGTGAGTTGTGACGAGTTATTGTGAGAGGAACGTTATATAATTACGCAAATAACTAGAGAAGCAGACATTAAAGGTAAATGCTTTTGCCAAAGGAGGCAGATTGTCCGTCCTCCTTTTACCATGCCCTTCTCGTCCTCTTCTATTTGTGCGATTACGGTTAAACTACATTAACATGTCTTATTATCTTTATAAAAAATTAATATAAAATATTAATATAACTTAATCGTAACCGCACAATGTAAAAGGGAACGAGAAATGCATGGTAATGGGAGGGCAGACAATCAGCCTCCTTTGCGAAAAGAGACTTTTTGTGAGGAAAGGTGAAACATCAAACAAAGAAAGTCAAAAAAGGTACCGCCAATAATGGTGTTAACTTGAAAATCCAGATCCACTGCCCCACTCCAAGCGTACCCTAATCATATCAGAAGTTCAAAAGCATTAACCAGAGATAATTAATTAGTTTAATTGAACTAAATCACCTAATAATTGCAATAATTAATTACTGACCTCGCCCAAAACAATTTGTGGTGGTGTTAACACCACTCCTGCAAATACAAGCAAATGACTGATCCAAACCAGCAAATCCACAAATCCCTCCACTGGTTTCACAATCCTTGCATTTATTTGTGTGGTAAGAATCATTATATTGCAAAGAAATCCCAAATCTCCATTTCGTCGGATCGCCTTCGTCTCCAAACTCGTAAACTGATGTATAAGAAGAGCACTGGAGCTTTGGAAGATCCAGTGCATAACCTGAGCCAACCACGATTTCAGAATCATAAACACAACAGGTGGAAATCGGCGCATTCTGTGGCAGTCCAATGCCGGCAACCCCCTTGCAAGAGTACAACCCTCTACACACCCGGGTACCGGATCCAGTGTCACACAAGTCTTCGTTTGGATCAAACACCGGGGATGTCGTTGAGCAGCCGAGCAAAACGAAGATGTTTTGCTCTCCTATAGTGAAAGGACTGGACTTGTCCAAGCTAAAACTACCTGAATTTTGCATGGAGGAACATGTTGACATGAGTGGATCTGTGACAATGATGGTGCTGCTGTTGTAGTCTATGGAGGAAATGGTGTAGATGCCGGTTCCGGTGGAGAATTGAAGTGTTCCTGAGCTGCATTTGATGTATCTGATAAATTCAGGGTGGCCGCAACCAAATCCGGTACCGAATGGGAACTTTACTGGGATTGCACCGCATGCGTCCTCACACATACCAGTGAGAGGGATGGCATGGCCTGCGTGGATGACGGACGAGAGGGTGTCCAGAGGAAGCAAGAAGAAAATGGCGATGAGAAGTAGGGTTTCTGAGGCCGACGGCGGCATAGGAGAAGAAGGGTTTTGGAGGAGTTGGAGATGTTCAAATGAAGACACGAGAGCAAAGTAATGCAAGAAGAGTTTCAACTTTCACATGATAAAGTTTTATTTGTCAAGGAGGACAGAAGAAAGTGTTCTTTTCGGTGCCCTACCTAATTTTTCTTCCTAAAAAGCAGAGCCTCTGTTTTCTTGTGGGTTCTAGCTCTGAAGCAATATGGATTTTCAAAAAAAATTAATGAAAATAACTTGAAAATTTTGAATTTTAATCAAAAGAACAAAAAAAATATTGTAAGTGAATAGTACTAAGAGTGATTTTTTAAAGTAAAAATGTCTTTTTCGTTAAAAATAAACAATAACGAAAATGTTTAGTTAAAACTCCAATTTTCAAAAGGATGTAGACAAGGAGGGAAATCAACTCCATAAACTACAAGAGAAGGTGCTCGAGTGTGTGAACAAGTTTCTGTATCGGCTTACCAATCTGACGCGGTATGTCAGCCCCACCAAGGACGATGCTGATTGCTTTCACAGCCTTTTACACTGCTACCAGCACATGCAAATGCAGTATGAAAATGAACAGAAGACTGAAGGTGATCCCACTGCAATAAATCAAGGCAAGTGTGCGTCTGAACTGCTCGTCGATTGCTTAAAATCATATTAATATTCAGCCATTACTTTGCAAATAATTACACAGAAACTAAGATGATTTGGAAAAAAAAGTAGTGAAATTTATGTACTTGGATACCAATGTCGGCCTTGCGAGTTTCTTCACCCAAATTCAGACATTCGCCATCTCCATCACTTAACATAGCCATTAATCAAACTGCTCCGAAACACCCTTTTATCCGAAAAACGAAACCCACCCTTCAATGCATACAAATGAGCAAGAAAACCAGAACTCGACTCATCAGGCCCAATCCCCAAAACCGCAATCGTTTCAACAGCTTTTTCGGCATCACTCAACGATTCAAGCTCACGACAACACCCCTCCAACGCCGCATTACAAGCAGCCAAACCCGGGTTCAAAAACTCCAACTTCTCATCCAAAGCAATCCTACAATTCTCTTCAGAAACCCGTAAGAACGCGACAAAGTTACCATTTTCCCTACTGATCTCAACAAGTACATTGCCCAACACACTAAACGGCAAGAAAAACCGGTTCTTGAACATGCATTTAACCAAAGCAAAAGCAGGGGCAGCAGTATTGGCACATTTCATAGCATCCAGCACAAACCCAACAGTTTTAAACTCCAAATATCCTGGGTATTTATCCACGACATAAACAGTGGTGGCAAAAGCCCTCTTGAGATTGTGAGTGTCCCCGAGCGAGGACAAATGGGTAATTAGAGAATTGGTGAGCGACTTACTGGGGAAGGCGGAGGTGCCGGTGACGGTCTTGAAGGACTTCCAGGCCGCATCAGTGTTGTGGGTTATGAGGGACTTGTGGAGGGCGGTCTAGAGGGCGGCGATGTGGTCGGGGGTCAGGGTTTCGGGCGGCGGGGTTGGGAGGTCGCTGTGGGACTGGAGGGAGGAAGAGGGAGGTGGGGCCCTCTTGAGGGCAAAGATTGAAGGTTGGAGGAAGGAGTAGAGGGTTGGGATTTCAGGTGTTGAGGAGAAGGGTCTTCCTCTTCTGTGTGGAAGGAGGAGAAGGAGAGTGAGAGCTTCTAGTTTTCTCCACAATCTCTCATCCAAACTCCAAATTCCAAAGATTCAAACTTTCTCTTCTACCTCGTGCTGTGGTTTAGCTCATAATCTCCAGGAACTTGAATTTGGTTTTCAGCTCCTTTACAAGGTATGTATTGGTGTTTAGTCAAAATGTAAATATTTGTATGTAGAACACACTCTCAATTGCTGGAATAGCTCAGCTGGTTAGAGCGTGTGGCTGTTAACCACAAGGTCGGAGGTTCGAACCCTCCTTCTAGCGCTTTTTTTATTTCCCTTTTTAAGTTAAACGTTTTCTGACTCACGCCATCTTTAGTATTCTACTCACGGCCTGCTTAGGGCTTTTTTTATTTCCCTTTTTAAGTTAAATGCTTTCTGACTCACGCCCTTTTTAGTATTCTACTCACGGCATGCTAGGATTAAAAGCGTTGTGACGCTTTCTGACTCACGCCCTTTTTAGTATTCTACTCACGGTTTGCTTAGGATTAAAAGCGTTGTTTATTTTATTTCCCTTTTAAGTAAAACGCTTTATGACTAACGTCATTTTTAGGCTATCTCCAACCGACCCGTCCAAATGGTCATAAGGCTAAAAATAGCTCGGAATGACACAAAAATTGTCTCCAACCGAGAGTTAGGCCAAAGGGCTTGTGGGCCCTACCAGGCCAAAACCCGCTAAATTAGGCCAGCGTGTTGGCCATTTCCAGCCAACCAGCCCAACTCTCCACCACCAGAATGTCAAGCTTGACATTTTGCCAGCCCTTCAATGCTAGAATGTCAAACTTGACATTTTGCCAACCCTTCAGTGCCAAAATGTCAAGCTCGACATTTTGCCAGCTTTCCAGCTCAGCCCATTTGAATGGCAACGGCTACCTTGTGTCAACATGATGCAAGCTAACAATGGCTAGCTGATGTCATGCTATCGTCTAGTTACCATTGGAATTTGAATTATTTTTTATAAATAGTTAAGTCATTCCTACACCATTTCTCACATACTTTTCACAATTCCATACTATCTTATCTCATTTTATTTCAATTCTTCACATTCTATTTTCTTACATCTTCCAATAATTTTTTCATTAATTTTTTCAATAATTTTCAAATGACTACATCTGCAATGAAAAGAATGGCTTTGACCCGAAAAGAAGATGAAGCCTTTTGCCGGGCTTATAGATGGGTCTTGGAAAATAGTGTCAAGGGTAGTTCTCAAACAAGTGAAGGTGTTTAGACTCGTACGTCCAAAAAGTCCTATGAGTTCTACGAAGACGCCACTCCACCGAATCTTCGGAACCACGAGAGTTGTTCTTCAAGATGAAAAACAACACAATCTCCACCCTAGTACTACTTGGGGGAGTTATTCAAACTTAAACAACATTAAACAAAACATTTAACAACATAAAACTTAAACGCATACTCCATTGTTCTTTTGGCCCAAAGATGTGGAACAAATCATGTTGTAGGTATTTGTTTGTGGCATGCAAACATATCATCCTATGACACCTCACGTACTCATTTAAAGATATATTACCAATTATTGGATCTAAACGCAAATTAAGCCTATCATATATTTTTGCATCAACTGGGGAGGCATAGGCCATCATTTAGAGTGCAATAGTAACCTTTTGATGAGGTGAGAAACCAGGGCGGCCTAATCTATCTATCTTTTGTCAAAAGTATGGATTGACATGTTGGACATCATGAAGTAAGCGCTCGAAGACACGATGCCTCATCCGGAAGCGACGTTTAAAATCCTCTTTTGTGTACACTGAGTTGGAGTTTAAGTAGTTGTTCATCAGAGTCTCATGTGCAATCTTTCTATTTTGTGGTTTGTAAGAGTGACCACCAACAGAGTCATCCCATTGAGGTTGTTCTTCAGTTTCCTCACACGACATGACCCAGCCATTGCTACCATATATGTTGTGTTGCGCCATGCTTCATCTTCTTCATCGGACTCCTCATCTTCTCGTCTCATATGCGCCCATTTATCTTCCTATCAGAAAAATGATTAAGATTACATAAATATAAGAAATCTGGAGAGTTGCTCACTTTAGCAACATGTATCACTCGAAATCATATCCGAAAAAATTATTAAGATTACACAAAAATAAGAAATATGGAGAGTTACTCACGTTAGCGACACATGTCACTCATAATTCTATTAAAAAATTATTGAGATTATACAAAGATAAAAAATCCATATGCTTATTCATTTTGGGGACAAGTAGCACTCAAAATATGTTCAAAAACTTTATTTTAATATGGTATTTTTATTTAATTAACCATATCAATTCAATTAAAATAACAAATTACGTTTGGCCTATGACCTTTTGGCCCCCTAAGTTGGAGATGACTTTTTGTTAAAGGGCTATGTTTAGCATATGACTCTTTGGCACCCTCAGTTAGGGATGGTATAAAAAATTAAAAGAGTGAGAAATAATTTGGGATGTGTGAATATAATCTTCCTATAAAATATAGCATGCCAATGTTCATTAAAATATAATTTATTGCAAGACTATAGGGTTAAAGGGAGTCATTTGGCCCTCCTTTGGTTGGAGATGGCCTTAGTATTATACTCACGACCTGCTTAGGATTAAAAACGTTGTCTAATAACTAAAAACATTTTAATGGTGTTTGATATAAAAATTTAGCTTGTAGAAGCATTTTCTAGAGCACATGCTTCTTCGTGAAATCACTTAGATTTTCAATAAAAATTCGAAGTGTTTAGAGTAGAAAGACTTCAAGCATGGAAAATGTATAATGTACAATTATTCCCATCCAAATGTACCTTCTTGAATAGAAATAATAACTTTTTAATATAAGTGCTTCATTTTTGAATTATGAAGACTATATATTTGTTACTTTTTAAAGATTTAATTACACATTTATGAGCTGGTTTTAAACTGTTTTTAAAATGATTAAAAGTATTTTAATAAAAATATTTTTTAATACAAATTAATTCTAAAAAAAAAAAATACTTAAAATACTTCTTATAAAGATACACATAACTGATTCGGCAACAAATTTTTAATCTAAAAAAAGTTTTTAAAGATGACGCATCTAGTTCTAATTACTTTCTTTCAAATCAGACTTCCCATAGCTGCGAATATAGTGGATAAAAGCAAGAACATTTTACAAGTAGCCAGTACGTGTCATGCTACATCGTCACAAAACTTCATATTAACACCTGCATTCTGCGAGCACTTTGTCGTTACGCGTCAATTCCGCATCCCAAATTGGAATTTTCCAATTACAAAACTATCCGGACATGTGTCTGTATGAACAGTAGCGCTTAAAAAAACAAAAGAAAAAGATCTCGAGATGGGATTTGGTTCCATCCCAATCCAAACGGGGAATCTTAAATATTCTCACATTTTAATTATTTATCGTACATCGTGTGATAAAAAAATCATTTGAACAACTAAAATATGAGAATTCTTAAAATTCTCACAAAGAGAATTCGAAAAGAATCCTCATTCCTTGAGATGTACCACTTCAGTGAATGACTGAGTTTACATACGTTAATTTACACATTACAATCTACCCGCTCACAAGACTTTCCATCAACGTACTATAGGCAAAATTTCGATATATGTCACTTCAATGGTTACCAAATTTGTATGCTTTGACATGACTTTTCACCATGTCTATCTATCATTGTCACTCCTTTTTTTTTTTAATTTAGTTCGAAAACTATTTCGATAATTTAGAATAAAGGAGTTTCAAACCATTAACGCATAAATAAAGATCAACATGCTCTACGCTATAATTTTCAAAACTATTACAATAATTTAGTGAAAGGGAGTTTCGAACATGAGTGAAAACCAACACCATCTACGCTATCATTTTCGAAACTATTACAATAATATAAAGGAGTGAAGTTTCAAACCAGTAACGCATGAATAAAAACCCAATACCCTGTACACTATCATTATCACTCATACATTACCTTGTTAAGTATGCTAATAAGGTACCATACGAGTGGCACCTCATGTTCAGGCCAACACACCAAACGAGGACTACGAAGCAAATAAAGAATCAAATGCGGACATTTAACCGCAGATAAAAATCGAAACAAATTTTGCTGCAAAAGTCTAGTTTCTTTCTCACTATTGTGTTATGTACCTATCCAAACTCGAGGAATAGGAATTACATCAGACCGTTTGGACTTCTGGATTGTCCTCACCACCTTCTGAGTTAGCTTCCACGGACACTTCTTTCGATACCTCTGTCGGCACCTGTAAGAAGTTCCCCAGCAACCTCTGATCCAGAATCATATTGGGAACCTGCACAGCAAACTCACTACTGAGTACTGTTTTGTACAAACACGCAAATACAAGTAACAAAAGCGCACATAAAAGATATATATATATAGAAAGAGAGACAGAGACAGAGCAACCTTGTCTCCGAAGAAAATCTTAGTATTATCAGCAATGGCGTCGATGAATTTAAGCTCAAGAAACTGTGGAGTAAGCTTCAACTTGTTTGCTTCAGCTTCCTTCATGACTTTATAGAAATCAGCATCCGCAAGGCTCATTTCCCGAGCTGTGTACATCTGATTGTCAATCTCCTGCTGCCTCCTGGCACTGTCCTTCTCCGTCAACTTTTGTTCCATGAGAATCTTACTGACATTGGCGTTCTTCTCAGCCTCGCTGATAGCCATCTTCTTCTTGGTTTCTGCCTCTTTCTCCACTACTCTCTGTCTCTCTATAGCAATTAAGACCTACAGAGTAGCCCCAACAGTCATGATATAACAAAGAATGCTGTAACACTAAAGAAAGGGTAGCCTAAAAATCTTATGACACTTTGTTCTAAAGCCTATCCGATGTTTGGGCATCAAGTACTTGGAAGACAGGAAGAGTAATTTGAGTAAAACTGGATATAAAAATCTCAATATTTGGGCAAATTTTGTGACACGAAATTGTAAATTCAACAAAATATCTAAAAAGCAGGAAGTAAAAATCAGAATATATAGTTTAAATCATTTATTGTTTGCATCAGAATTACGGATAATACAATGAACTCTTTTTTATCTTTTACCTTGGTGCGCTCCTCCTCCATTTGCTCAAAGTTACGTCTTATACTCTCCGGGATGGTTGGCTTTGTAACACGGACATTGATGATTTCAATGCCTGGAGCGTAGCGGGTACAGTCACCTTGAAGGGCTTCTTTCATCTGTTCATCAATCTGAAAGAGTATGTTTTGTTGACAGACGATTGAGACTTTGGATATAACTAAAAAAAGAATTCAAGCCACAAATATAATACAACAAACTAGCTCATTAAAACAATTTTTCGATACATATGCGACAACCCTCAGTTTACATTACAAAGAGAAGAAAAAAATGTATGCTACTCATGTATGTATCGGGCAGGATGCATATAGTCTACAGATATTACAGATGAAAAAATGTGAGACTCATTTGCATTCCACCTTACCTGATCGAACACATCAATATACACTTCTTGAAGAGAATGTGAGCTGCAGAACTGATTGATCTCATGATGAATTTTGTCATATATCCATGTATTGTCATATTGCACGCCATAATTGAGAAGCGTCTCGTACACAAATTCCTTATGAAGCCGATTTACGACCTGAAAAATGCATCCTAATTAGTAAATGCACATTGGGGATATTAGATATCCGACTTCACGCAATACTAAAGAATAACATTGCATAGCCTTACCTCAATCTTCTCAAAATTGATCATGACACCCCCTTTTGTACCACATGGAATATCCCTTACCTACAATGTTGCTAACAGAAGCTTTCAAAACTATAATGAATGGAAAGACAAAATCTTCAATCTTCCAAACATGGATTACCAAAGTTACCTGATCAGTCTGCAGGGTCACTTGAACGGGTTCAAAATGGGTGACCAGAGGTAGCTTGAGATGAAAACCTGAAATTTGAAATAATGAGAAGCAGGCAAAGTTAAGGCCCTATGCAAGCAACTTCTCAATGCACATCACCTGGATCTGTAATTGTCTTCAGAAGAGCGCCTCCTCTCCAATATACCCCAACATGACCTTCTGGGACTTGGTGCAGAATTGATATAGTTGATGATGTTGGAAGAACGGTCTGTAAACATCAAGACGTCCCAGTTTTAAGAATTTAGCATACTAATCGAAGTTCCCCGGCTAGCATATCATAATATTTAGTAAAAATACAATCCAAGTCTATTGCAACTATCATTACAGAGGGTTTCCCCATGATTCATCCATTAACCTGAACAAATCGTTATGAACACGTGTCTTAAGCCAAATGCTACAACTAACAATCATAATTGTTTGAGGTAGTTGCTTCTACAAGTCAATACCATGAATGGAACAATCTTAGTTTCCACATTAGACAATTGAGGTAGCTGAATACGAGAAATTCCAAGAAAAAACCTTCAATTCAATGCATTATTGGGATATCGCGTAACTCTAATTCTCAATCAACTAATACAAATATTAGACAGAGGATTAATGAAGTCACCAGATGCATTTTAATGCACACAATCATGCTTAGCAAACAGATAACCATTAATGACATGACAAAAGAACGCATTACGAAACTGTAAAAAAACCGAAATTAATACTTTAACACAAATATATGCATTCAGTTGAAATCAAGAACAGATACATGATATCGAGGAATTACTTAACCATAATAAAACCTAAAAGTGAAACAAATTGATGAACAATTGAGTTAGTACTGCATATCAAGCGATGGATTAAGCTCGAAGAAAGACCCTAAAGATGCGATGAAACAAACGAATATCGAAGAAATATAAAGCAAATTAGCAGTAAGAAAAGAAGACCTAGTACTTCTGAGTTGGAGAGCAAAGTATAAAGTGTGAGGGGTTACCACGGCGAAAAAAATGGCGAGGAAAGCGAAGAGGACAAAGAGAATGGCCGAGGAGTCGCCGCCGCCGCCTTGAGGTGGTGGCTGAGGGCGATTTGGTGGAATTCCTGGTCTCTGCTGGTTTGGATCCATGGCTCTCTCGCTCTCTGTCTGTGCTCTCACGCTTTCTTTCTCTCCTCGTTGTCTCTTTTTCTGTGCATTTCAAGCGTGAATTGAGTCGGTATTGGAAATGTGAATCGACTTGATGAATAATGGCCGTCTGATGAAGCGTGAATACACGTGGAGCATCGTTAAGTGGTCGAGTTGTTTCCCCGAAAATTCGTGTGTAAGTTTGGCGCGATTTCGCCGTAGCAACAGCTTTCTTGCGGTATCGGTTAACAGGCGAAAAGGAAAAGGACGTTTAATTTTAGTTTAATTTTATAAAAATATTTTTAGTTTTTTATAGAAAAATTCTTTTTTCATCCTGATTACTTTTATATTTGTTATAATTTTATAAAATAGTTGGGTAGTGCTAGTTTGAAAACTAAATAACGTCACAAATTTAATTTATAAAATTTAGTCTTTTTAGCATTACTCTAAATAATTTAAAGGTTGATTAGTATGAGTTGATTCGTATGCTTGGTTGACAGTAAGTAGTTGATTTTTATTATTTTGTATTTACTTGAAATTATTCTTTACTCGAAAGGTTTGCACTTAAATGCATCAGAGCTTATGCATCACTTTACAAGACATAAAATGTATTTCTTGAACGCTTGCGTTTTGAAGCATTAGTCTTGTAATGTTGCTTTCTAGAGCAAAGAGATTGTTGTTTAAAGAATTAAGTTACGGGGTTGAGAGATGTATCATCATGCCGAGGTCATTTTAAGTGCTCCTAGCACCCTCGAGTTAATAAAGTATACCCATTTTTAATAGGTGCGTAACAAACCATAATTGTTGTCTCATTAAAAAAACTTTACTTGAAACTAAATTAAAGCATTAATTAATGTTATTTACTTTGGCTGACGGAAAAAAAAAAGAGTTTGTATATCCCACTCCTAATAATTTTTAACTCCGTTACCGTATGCAATATTAGTATACGATTGAACTCTTGATGTTGTGGGTCAACATTAATTTGAACCGATATTTTTAGGACGCATTTTGCTTGGTTTTGAGATTGTTTTGATGTTCTTTTTTTTTTTTTAAATGGTAGCAATGGTCTTTAATTTTAGCCAAATTAGAGTAATGGTCTCTCAACTAAAACTCTGTAACAATTAATCCCTTAACTCTTCAATATGTGTAGCTATAGTCATTTCGTCAACTCCGTCAGAACTTCCATCAAAATGAGTCATGGTGGAAAGACCATTACTACAATTGGGTTAAAATTGAGGAACCATTATTATAATTGGGTTACAGTTGAGGGCTATTGCTGTAATTTTCTCATTTAGTTTTTTTTATTTGCCCCTTTGATTTAGTCTGCATGACACGTGATTCATTTTGATGAGTTAAAAAATTAATAGTCACAAAATTTTAGTTAATAGACAATTTCTCTAATTGGATTAAAATTGATGAAATAGTCGTACAATTTCCTCTTAATTTTAATGGGGACCTTTTCATTTGTAAATTCTCTTTGTCATTTCCAATCTCCAATCGACACGATCTCGAAACGCACCGGATTCACAAGAAGCTCCCGTCACACACACACGCAAAAGAGACCACCCAGACCATCCTCTTTCTCGGGATAAAGAGTATCGATACTACAGCCAAACAAACCACTGCAAGCGGCGTTCTTCCTCCGCCGGATATTAAACTCACCCGCAGGTGACACAACATGCTAACTCTCACAGGCGGCTCCACACCCATTGCCGCGAAATGCACGGTCCAAATCAAAAGGCGGTTCAGGGTTCCCTCCGCCGCTGCCGGGTTCCCTTCTTTCCTTCCCAAAGAGGTCGAAAAGATCAAAGACCCGTTTGCCCGCAAGCTCGCCGCCCGAATTGAAAGGCTACCCGTAAGCTAACCCTAGCTCTCCCTTCAATTTCGTCAGTTTTCTGTTATCAATGTAGACTGTAGTATTTAATTTAGCCACTTTGTTTTGGGTAATAATGTTTAATTTCCATGGGTTAGGAACTTAGGCCAGTTGTTAAGCAGCGTGGCCGTCCCCTTGCACCCAAGTTTCAATCTCACTTCTCGTAGATTCGAGTAATTTAAAACTTCGCCTTGTTAAAAATGTAAGCTTTAATGTATACGGATGCCTTGCCAATATCAATGCAGGTGAGTTTTGGAGAGAATAGTGTGATGAGTAGTTGTGTGAAGCCATTAGTGCAGAGCGAGACGAGTCCCGTGGTTCTTCTCCATGGTTTTGACAGGTCTTTTACTAATAACTCCCATTGTTAAAGTAAATTCAATTTCTGTTTTTGATATTTGTGTTTTTTTCTCTTGTAAACCTTTGGAGTTCATTGCCTCTTATTATTCAGCTCCTGTTTAGAATGGAGATATACTTATCCATTGCTCGAGGAAGCGGGATTGGAGACTTGGGCTGTTGACATTCTTGGTTGGGGTTTCTCCGATTTAGGTTTGCTCCTTCAATTGCTTGAGACCCAAAAGGGATTGTTTAATTGCTTTCACGTTTATGTTTGATACCTTTTTAATAACTTTCATTCCTTTTTTGCAATTTTTGCTTCGCATGTGATAGAAAGACTTCCCTCCTGCAATGTGGTCTCTAAGCGTGAGCATTTTTTTCAGGTACATTTTATGATTTCTTACTACATTTTGTCATTGGAGTTAATTTTTGTATGAAGATAATTTTGTGAATTGTTGATCAGACTAGCAATTTTTTGTTTAAATTTCGCGACAGCTTTGGAAATCCTACATTAAGAGGCCAATGATATTGGTTGGACCAAGCCTTGGTGCTGCTGTTGCAATTGACTTTGCAGTCAGCCATCCAGAAGCGGTAAGTGCTCTCTCCTTTTTTATCTTAGAATTATGCAGTATAGATTCATTCGGAAAGAAATTACAACTGATGCATCGGACAGGGTTGTTAGCGTCTGCAGTGTTCCATGAAAGTTTGAAAATTTTACCTTACGTTTTCAGGTCGAAAGGCTGGTGTTGGTTGATGCAAGTGTGTATACAGAAGGCACGGGAAATCTAGCAACCATGCCTAATGTTAGCCTATGCTGGAGTGAGTGTTTAGCTCAACTCACTAATTTCTCAAATTCCTTGTTGTCTACATGGTACTTTCACCATGTTTCTGTTAAGATCATGTGCTCTTCGAGGCTATAATATCTGTGACACTGTGCTCGTTGCAAAGGCCATTTATGATCTTATTTATTTTGGGGCCTCCCTTTTTTATGTGATGTTCAGTTGAACTATATCCTTGATATCTAATTCAGTCACGATTAAGTCTGACCTAATTAAGTTGCTATTTCCATTGAATTTCTCTGTATTTGTCATGCCGTTGAACTTTATGCCAGTTGAACCATCCCTATCAAAATCAACCAAATGAGGCTTATTATCTCATAATCCTTTTGCTTTAGCATAGGAATATTTTTCTTGATACATTCTTGTGACTGTTTATATGAGCATGTGCATGTGATGTCATCATTACAATGACGACAGGCACTTTTCTGGCCCAGGTGTATATACTGAAGAGTCTCCCACTGCGCATCTATGCAAACTTTTTGAGCTTCAGTGGCATATCACTTGCTACCAGTTTAGATTGGGCTAATGTAAGGGGTTCTATTTCGAAATTTATGCAATATTTATATGGATGAATGTTACAGTTAAATATTCCCATACTTGTAGGATTTCTAAGGGTGGAGAGATCTTACTCTGGTGTTTCTTGCGATTTATTTAGATTGGCCGCTTGCATTGTCTGTTTCCTTGGTGGGAGGATGCAGCTGTGGATTTCATGATGAGTGGGGGTTATAATGTTAGTGCCCAGATAGAACAGGTACGTCTGAATTTTATTTTTTATTTTTTATTTTTTTTCCATTAGATTTGAGAAGTTTCTGGAAAACAATCATGCATATAGGAAAGAGGTTCTCTTCTGCCAAGATGAACAGGCGTTCACATGATTAAAAAAGGAAAATGAGAAAGAGATTGTGGTTTAAATTCTTTACTCACATAAGTCCTTAATCTCTTGCCAAGGGGAATAAATTCAATTAGTCTTTCGTTAGTTTGAGTCAGTTGGGTGTTCGCTCTACTCATAGAATGTCCAAAACCCATGAATTGTTTAATAACGTTATCCACATTTTGTTTGACAGGTAAAGCAAAGGACGCTTATCATATGGGGTGAGGATGACCAGATTATTAGCAGCAAGCTTGGAGTGGTAATACTTTAATTCTTTCTATAGGGATAAATAGAGATCATGACACGAAAACAACTACCATTTATGATCAAAATTACCTTGAAACAATCCGTTCAGGTATTGGAAACGTTGCTAGAACACAATGTTCCTTGTTTTTTTTTTTTTGACCTTTTGAGTATATTCTATACAGTTAATAATCGTGTGGTTCGTTATATTGTATGCTGCAGAGATTGCACTGCGAATTGCCAAATGCTATTTTACGACAAATACCAGAATGCGGACACCTTCCTCACGTGGAAAAGCCAAGCTCAGCTGCTAAGTTGGTTGTGGAATTTGTTCAACAAGATCAGTACAAAGAAGTCCAATGCATTGCTCAAGTTTGAAGGTTTACCTTCCATCTTCGCTTAAATGATATTCACAATTTCATATCCTGCCATACATACTTTACAAATTGGGGTGGGTTGGCATCTTTTAAGACATACATTCGGGTTCCCGGGTTCCGAATTGTGTCATCTCTTAGACAGTTCAAGGTCACTAGTAGGATATAGAAACGAATCCTTTACAACAAACCCCAGATGCAAACATGGATGTAAAAGCATCCATTTCACTGGCAGTAATTGTAACTTTGTATCAGGATTTATCTTCAATTACTATCTGCTATATATGTAACTAGAAGGAGTTGCGTGTGTATGCCTAGTGGTTTAGAATCGTCTTTAAGTAGCTGGGTGGAATTTGTTGACCTTAGCGTTAGTTACACATGTTTAAATATGTATGGGCGGCCTTCAGATACCTTTCAGAACTAACCATCCGGGACCATCTGTACAAAGTTTTTTCTTAATTTGTAATTTTGATGTTTTTCCTTTTATGATTAATTTGGAAGTGCTTTTAAAATTGATGAAAGCATTTTTGTTTAAAATATTTTTGAGACAAATTCTTAGTAAAAAGTGTAAGTGAATCATGAAAAAGCACGAAAGCACTTCTAAACGAGCCTTTAATCTTTGATTGTTAATTCTTTTCTACCGCAATAATTGCATAATTCAACATCAATGACAAAAAGTTACAGTGTTAGAAAAGGATTGGCAAAGTGGTGAATGTAATAGCATAAAGGATTTTATCGTCGCGGCGCTAAACAGAAGAGAATTCGGAATCCAGTGTCGAGGAAGAGTACACTGCTCGGCCAACTTGACTTAACCTTAAATCCGTAGAATGTAAGTGTTTTGTGGCTTATATTGTTTGGTGGGTAGTTCACGAGTCTTCATCTTCTGTAGCCTGAATAACATGTTACATACTTTATTTTGATTGTTTTCCACTTTTTCGGCCATACACGTCAGATTCGATGGTTTTTGTAGTTTTGACAAGCTGGTGGATTCTAACCATGTTTCCAACAAATCTGCTGTTGTGCTGTACTAAATATAATACAACACAATGATTTTACCTCTCATTTTTTGCTTCTGTATACTCTTGCTTATTTCCGACTCGTAATTCTTATGTAACTTAAACTAAAAACGAAAACGAAACATTATCAAACGGGTCCTTAAATTTGACGCATTTGATTGCCTGAATGTTGTCTTGTAGTCTTGTAGTTTAAGTTTAAACACAATGTTCAGGCTCCATTAGGATACCTAAATTGATTGTTAACCTAAGTGATAGGGGGCTTCAAAGAAAAAGAAGCTCAAATGATGGGGGCTAACGAAAAAATCGTAAATCGCAACAAAATCCGGCATGTAACCGGATTCATTATTCGTATTATTAGTACTATCCGATAACATGTCGCGCGACCAGCGAGACGCTTTGGTGAAATAATGGTAGGGGTAGAGCATAGTTGTATTAAATTAAAAAATAGTGCCTCTTATACATGTACAAAAGGGAAAATCTAAAAAGAAAGAAGATCAGATTCCTACCCCCAATAAGCACTAGCAGCAGCAGCAGCAGCACCACTCAAAATGGAATCGAATTCCCCAGCTTTTTCACAATGGAGCAATGAAAACAAACCACAGAAACTAAAAAAATTAAAAACCCTAACGGGGTTTTTACGCCTCCGCAGATGTTTCCCAACACAACAACCACCCATTAAAATGTCGAAGCTTACATGCCTACCCGCCAATTACACCCCCCACCTTCAGCTCTTCACATCAGTAAAAACGCTGTGAAGCACAAAGCCGAAGCTAGAGAGAAGAGGCGGTTTGCGGCTTCCAAGGTAGCCGTGCCGCCATTATTGTCTATTCCAGTGCCACTCCCGGTGGGGCTTATTCCGAACACTGATGCCGGAGAGCCTGGAGTTGTGATGCCGGTGCCGGTGGTTGGTGTGCCCGTGGTTGGAGTTGTGCCCGTGGTTGGGGTGGTGGGTGTGCCGGTTGGTGTGACCGTGGTTGGGGTGGTTGGGGTGGTGGGTGTGCCGTTGGTGGGTGTACCGGTTGGTGTGCCTGCGGTTGGCGTGCCAGTTCCTGCTTGACTGAACAAAACAGAACAAAATCATGTCAGTATAATGCACTCAAATTTTGAAGTTCATAGGAAAATAAATGCAAATAGAATCGGTTACAAACTTTTTATAAAAAAATGAAACACTATGAACACTAAACCCACGATAAACCAATATAAAAACTACGGTTTACCATCCTTTATTGATTTCTTAGTATGCCTCTCGTCTTCCAATTCTATTCCAATTCTAATTAAAAGTTTGTAACCAGTTCCGTAGATATCCCCCGGGTTCGAAACCCCTAAAGATTAACCATGGTTTAAATCAATGAGATGAAATGAAGACGAAAGGGGAAACAGAACTTTTACATACATATTTCTTGACAGCTCACTGTTATGACTTGATACAACAGATCAAGCTAATACAGTATTAACTTAAGGGTGGGGAGATGGATCTAGTTTTCTTAATCACTTTCCAAATAAGCAAATTATGAACCCTGATATCCAAAATTACTTTTGCAGCCGTTGTTGCTTATTCAATAAACACTTTTCAAATCTACCATTTAAGAGAAAAATTAACAGAAAAATAAATTATGGGGAAAATTGCATTCAATATATTGATAAAATGCTCATAAATTTGCAAAGATATGAGAAATAAAACTCAGCCACCTACCTGGAACTTGCAGGATAAACACAAGTCGAACTTGCGGCTGGAAAATCACCAAAAAAATTAAAATCAGTGATTTTTTTAGTATAAATAAATAAATATGAAAAATAATTGGTAAGAAATAAGATTTAGAATGAAGGAACTTACTACTGGGAGCAGTTTGACTCTGAGTAGCAGCACCTGCAAAATCACAGCTCTGCGCAGTTTGACCCTTCCTCTGGAAATAACTGTTGACAGCATAGCTGCAGTGATCTTTGACGGTGTTGGGCTGGTAACAGACACCGTTTTGGAGGATTGGACTGCAGTCAGCTCCAGCTCCGCAGGCATAGTCCAGTGCCTTCTGAAGTGTTGGATCACCGACTCCATCTTTGCATACGCAATAAGTAGCACCTAAAAATCCCAGAAAATCAGTTACTTCACACTAAAACCATTTTAATTAATTCATGACCTTTTTTCTTCGGGTTTGTGATGGTCCTACTCCAAGGAGCTAATATCGTCTAATCCTTAATTATCATATAAAAAAAAAAGAAAAAAAAAACAGAGAACAGAAGAAAGATCGAAACTTTATGATTTGGGAGGAGTTTTTGCTTGATTGGAAAAAAGGGGTTGCCATGATTTGTAGTTTTCTCATGTCAGATTGGGAAATTAAGAAGAAAAAATAAAAGAGGATAATAATCGAAGGAGCTTACTTGAGTGGCCAGTGAGGGCTAATAAGATCACAATATACACTAAGGCAGCCATGATTGATGCAGGATTGTAGAGAGAGAGCTGGTTGAACAAAAGAAGAAACAGAGAGGGTGGGGAGAGAGAGAGAGAGCTGTGGAGAAGGGAGATTGGAGATTTCTAGTAAGCAAAGCAATAATATGAGATGGACGGTGGGTGTGTGTATATGATATGGTTTTTAAACCTTTTTTTTATATATAATTAAGATTTGTTTTTTACATTATGTGGCGAAATGCTATTCAATTAGTACTGTTTTATATTTATTTGTTTAAAGAGTGTTCTGGGGAGATGAGCAAGCAGAAGCTTTGGTCATGTACATGAACTGTTGTGTAAGACCAGACCATCCAAACGGTCTTAAACTGGCCTGGTTGATCAAAACTTAACCCCAACAGGATCTTCTCCAGATCCTTTTTGGTGAGAATTTTAAAAATTTGTGAAACGTGTCCATTTATCGTATATTGTGCGGTTAATTTTTGTTAAGTACTGTTTATGTATAATTTTCTTGGGAGCAGCCTCTCCATAAATGGGGGTAAGGCTAGCCGACATTCAACTTTCCCAGACCCTGCGTAAAGCGGGAGCCTTGTGCACTGGATATGACCTTTTACTGTTTATGTATAATTTTAAATAAAAATATTTAAATAAATTTTTGATTGTACAATGTACAATAAACAGACACAATTGACGGATTCCAATGATCCGACAAGGACCCGGATTCAACTTAACCCAACCCGGGCCCGCCCTTAGAGGTTCCATGAAGGGATAGAGTGTTGTATAGCCTTGTGTTGTCACGGTGAGCTAGCACTGGAGAACTTGGTACTAGTCTATGGGGATCGGGGGGCCCACCATTCGTGGTTCCATGGAGGGATAGATGGCTCTTTAGCTGTGTGTTGTCACAGTGAAGCTAGCACCGGGGCAGAGGCGTCATCATCTCATATTTTGGCACATTGCAACAGCATCTCTGTTGTGAGAGAGATGGCTCTTTACACTGGTGACTTTATTTCTTTTTGGAGTTCATGATTTTTTATGTTTCTGTGACATCTCAGACTAATAACATTACGTTGAATGTTTTTAGCTTTTACGCGTTATATAACGTTATTAATCTGAGGCACCAGAATTACGTTAAAAAACATGTAAATTTCTCTAGTACATGATGTTGAATTCGATTTGCTACTTTAAGTTTCCATGTTCGATTCAAAGTTTGTTGAGAAAGTTTTCAACTACAAACCTTAAAAGGGTAGGCATATATTTGTCGTGTTGGATCATCCCAGCTCCTAAAGCCAAAACCTTTTCTCTTTTCCTTTCCCATCTAAACCTTGGCATGCTGAAATTATGACCAATATATGTTAAGTTTTGACAAATGCACGTCATATTGAAATTTCCATCAAACACATCCCTTTAGAGTTAAAAGTCGAATAGGGGATTTAGGGTACACCAAGCGCACAAGGCGACACAAGAATAATAGTCGGAACATGTTAAGATTCAAAGAATTTATGGTGTGTGTGTTGTGTTGTACGGTAGGCGAAGCAATCAAGACTTCCTCAACATTTATTATTGGGAAGAATGTGAGCGGCAATTGTTTACTTATAACTTATAAGTTGATGACTTTTAGTCGTTGATTTACATGTAGTTCAAATATCAACAGCTATTGAGAATCGTTCATTTGTGGACAGGCAACTCATACAAAATGAGTTAAGCATGCGATATGTACTATGTGCCCTAAGTCTAATATAATATACTAATTCTCAATTGGGTTTAAGCCCCTCTCTGTGTCCTTAAAAATTGCAGAAAAAATGGCTTTTGGTCGACATATGGGGACAAGAATCCTCACCGACTAATTTTGTAGAGATCCGAGAGATCAATCAATAGTATTCGTTCATCGTAGATCGTACGGTCAGTTTTTGTTAGATATTATTTATATTTAATTTTTAATTTTAAATAATTTCTAACCGCACGATATACGATAAATGAACACAATTAATTGATTATTCCGATTCTCACAGAGAAGATCTTATTCCGACGCATGCTTGAACTTGAAGACATGCCCCCTCCCCGTTCACCACAAACCCA